GGTGTAGTGCTCATCTCCATTTCTAAGCCAAAGAGCAGGCGTTGTCCGTGGACACCTCCTAGGTCATGTGGCTGGCATGACTGGGTGGAGTGCCGTTACTTTCCCGCCGGAGTGGTACCTATTGATCTATTCACATTTGCATGGTTTCAAACTGCTAGGTTGACAGAAGCTGGGGCTGAAAGCGGAAGCTCACGCTGCTCCTCGGGTTCAAACCTGCGACCTTTCTGTCAACAAGCTCAGCAGCTCAGCGCTTTAACTCACTGCGCCACCGGCTAATTAGTATTACATATTACTATATTCTAACATTAATAATAATATATTTAAAATAATAGTAATATTAATAATATTAACAACAACAGTGCTGATGGGCTTCCTTTTGCAGGGGTTTGTGGCCCTGGCTGCCCCGGTTTGAAAGTTATTTATTTTTTGTCGTGTCCGGAGTGACTGCAAGTCGCTCCTGGTGTGAGAGAATTGGCCGTCTGCAAGGATGTTGCCAGGGGACGCCTGGATGATTTGATGTTTTTATCATTCTTGTGGGAGGCTTCTCTCATGTCCCCGAATGAGGAGCTGGAGCTGATAGAGGGAGCTCATCCGCTTCTCCCCGGATTTGAACCTGCGACCTGTCGGTCTTCAGTCCTGCCGGCACAGGGGTTTAACCCACTGCGCCACCGGGGGCTCCATCCGGTTTGAAATAGTCAATGTAGACAAAATAGTCAGTGTAACTAAGCCTTCGGAACACAGGATTCGGACCTTTGGCTTCCCAAGGTTGCCCGACATTCATCCCCTATTTGAATCCGTTCATTTCGGGGTGGCCGAAACTAAAAGGAAGCAGCCCTAAGCCCCGGCGTGGGAGGTCTTCCCCAGCTTTTGGGGTTCCCCAAAGAGACCGCCTAGGCACCCTGCTGCTTTCGGGGAGGCCACTGTCAAGCGCGAACAGATGTTCGACATCCAGCCCCAAAAGCATTCTTGCCCGATTAGGCCACGCTTAGCGGGAGGGCAACGGTGCCAACAGGCCCGTAGCCAGAAAAAACATTTGGACGGGGTTGAAACTCTCCCTTCCCCAAGATTAATTTTAGGCCAGTGTCTCCTGATCTGGTACGAGAGCTCAACAAGGCCTTGAAATGACCATCATTGTGCAAAGGTTCTTCACAGGTAGTACGTCCTGAATCTTTGCTCCCTCTCGTCGGCCGCAACAGACAATAGTTTCCCCAATTGGCAAATGTTTCTTTCTGTTTTCTTCTGCTTTCTTCTTATTTCCTTTCTCCACTGGGAATTAGCAAGAAGTTTTCAGCCAGGCGCAAGTTGTTCCAATGGGACTCTGTGTTTTGGTGTCTATTGAAGACGTCTGTTGCATTTCTTCGTCACAGAAATGGGTTAGCCACCAATGCGCCAAGCTTCTGATGAGCACGTTTGCCCCAAACTTCTCCTCCAAACACCACACCATACTTACAGAGCACACCTTGTGTTAGGCGATCCCTCGCTGTCCAAGTAAGTGGGTCCGTAGGTGACTATGGAGCCCTATTCTTGATCTGCATCGTCTCCTGCAGTGAGGGCATTGGTTTCGAGGTGGAAGGCGGTCCCGGTCAAGGTTGACTTGACGCGCCTTCCTCTTGGCATGTTTCTCTCTTTTACCCTCCATTTGTGCCTCTTCAAATTCTGCAGCACTGCTGGTCACAGCTGATCTCCAGCTGGAGCGCTCACGGGGCAGGGCTTCCCAGTTCTCAGTGTCTATGCCAGAGTTTTTAAGGTAGGCTTTGAACCCATCTTTAAATCTCTTTTCCTGCCCGCCAGCATTCTGTTTTCCGTTCTTGAGTTCGGAGTAGAGCAACTGCTTTGGGAGACGGTGGTCGGGCATCCGGACAACGTGGCCGGTCCAGCGGAGTTGATGGCAGAGGACCATCGCTTCAATGCTGGTGGTCTTTGCTTCTTCCAGCACGCTGACATTTGTCTGCTTGTCTTCCCAAGAGATTTGCAGGATTTTATGGAGGCAGTGCTGATGGAATCGTTCCAGGAGTTGCATGTGACGTCAGCAGACAGTCCACGTCTCGCAGGCATATAGCAGGGTAGGGAGGACAATAGCTTTATAAACAAGCACCTTGGTATCCCTACGGATGTCCCAGTCCTCAAACACTCTCTGCTTCATTCGGAAAAAATGCTGCACTTGCAGAGCTCAGGCGGGGTTGTATTTCAGTGTCAGTGTTGACTTTGGTGGAGAGGAAGCTGCCAAGGGAGTGGAAATGGTCAACATTTTCTAATGTTATACCGTTAAGCTGTATCTCTGGCATTGGAGAGGGATCGGCTGGTGAGTGCTGGAACAGCACTTCGGTTTTTTCAATGTTCAGTGACAGGCCGAGCTTCTCTTATGCTTCTGCAAAGGTGTTTAGAGTGCCCCTTCAATGAGCAGGCTAGACAGGGAAATCCACCAAACTCTTTGGGTCAAAATCTTCGATGCTTCTTCTTATCCGCAGGAAATACATATTCTGGCAATGTGTGGATTTTGTAGTAATTGAGCTTTCACTTGGTCATCAGACACAGTCTTGTTCATATCAAGTCCAAGGTCCAATGGCACAGTCAAATGTGACCGAAAAAGGGGCTCTTTGTGCTTGGAAAGTGTTTCTTTTCTCACCCATTTTTGAGGGTCTAATGCACCGTCAAATCTCATCCACCACTCCGTTTTCCAAATCCTGAAAGCAACAAAAGTATTATTTGGGTTGTTGTAGGTTTTTTTGGGCTATATGGCCCTGGTCTAGAGGCATTCTCTCCTGACGTTTCGCCTGCATCTATGGAAGCATCCTCAGAGGTAGTGAGGTCTGTTGGAACTAGGAAAAAGGGTTTATGTATCTGTGGAACGACCAGGGTGGGACAAAGGACTCTTGTCTGCTGGAGCTAGGTGTGAATATTTCAACTGACCACCTTGATTAGCGTATAATTGCCTGACAGTGCCTGGAGCAAACTTTTGTTGAGAGGTGATTAGATGTCCTTGTTTATTTCCTCTCTGTTGTTGTGCTGTTGTAATTTTAGTGTTTTTTAATACTGGTAGCCAGATTTTTTAATACTGTATTTAATAAAGTATTATTTGCTGCTGAACATCATCCGCAGCAAAGTGCAATCTTTGTCATTGGACCATTACATTGTAGAAGTAGTAATAATAATAATAATAATAATAATAATAATAATGACCTCACGATTGTGTTAAAAAACCAAGTATGGATTGAAGAGAAACAACTGGAAAAGATGGCACAATATGAGGATTTAAAGATTGAACTGCAAAGACTCTGGCACAAGCCAGTCAAGGTGGTCCCAGTGATGATTGACACACTGGGTGCAGTGCCTAAAGACCTTGGCCTGCACTTAAACACAATTGGCTCTGACAAAATTACCATCTGCAAGCTGCAAAAGGCCACCTTACTAGGATCTGCATGCATTATTTGCTGATACATCACACAGTCCTAGACACTTGAGAAGTGTCCGACGTGTGATCCAATTCAACAGCCAGCAGAGTGATCTTGTCTGCTGTGGACTCATCTTGTTGTGTTTCAAATAATAATAGTAATAATAATAAGACTTTATTTATATTCCGCCCTATCTCTCTGAGGGGACTCAGGGTGGATTCCAACAAACAAAAAGGCAAACTTTCAATGCTTTGATAGAGCAATAAATTCAGACATAATAACACAAAATAATATAGAAGGGCAAATTATTATAACATGACAACTAAAATTAAATAACATCACCTAAACATCAGAAATTATTTTATTATGTGTATAAATTCTCTATACACATAATAAAAGTGAAAATATGTATGTGTGAGTTGCTCCCACTACTCAGGAGACACCAATGGCTCTCCCTCCAATGACATTGCAGGTTACAGTGAGCACCATGAACATGTACAAGAGCCCTGCCAAGGTCCTCTACAAACACTATACTGCCCCCCACCCATGTGAATGCTTTCAGTCGGGGACAATTTATCATAGGTTTTCTGTTTTTCCTCCACCACAGACATCCCAGTGTTTCTGACTCCCTTCATTGGTGTGGAATTTGCATGGTCCCGCCCACTGCCTCTCTCTTCACCCTTTCCTATTCTTTTCTATGGCACACAGCAAACAGAGGAATAATGATGATGATGATGATGATGATGATGATGATGATGATGATGATGTTCATCAACTGAACACACTAGAGAGCTTTGGGGGAAATTCACCATGATTTATAGGAGTTGTAGGTCCTGGGATGCACAGTTCTCCTGCAATCTAAGAGCACTCTGAACTCCACCAACGATGGACCTGGATCTAGCTGGGCACACGGAAGCCCCCTGACCAACAAAAAATACTGGAGGTCTTTGGAGGGATTAATAGGAGTTGTAGTTCACCTACATCCAAGGCACACTATGAACCAAAACAATGATGGATCTGAACCAAACTTGTCATGCATACCCAATATGCCCAAATTTGAAGACTGGTGGGTTTTGAGGTGAATTGGCCTGGAGAATTTGGAGTTGTAGATACTGGGATATATAGTTCACCTGCAATCAAAGACCACTCTGAACTCCCCCAAGGAGAAAGTGGACCAAACTTGGCACACAGAGCCTCCATGATCTGCAAAAAATTCTTTGGGGAAAATTCACTTTGATTTGGGGGAGTTGTAGTTCACCTACATCCAGAGAGCACTGTGAACCCAAACACCGATGAATCTGATCAAACTTGTCACACAGAACTGATATGTTGAAATTTGATTACTGGAGGGGTTTGGGGGGAACTGACCTCCTTTCTGGGAGTTGTAGTTCACCCACATTCAGGGAAACTGTGACCTCCACCAATGATGGACCTGGACCAAACTTGCACACTGAACCCCCATGACTAACTCAACCTACTGGAGGGGTTTGAGGGGACTGACTCACCATAGTGGGAGTTGTAGTTTACCCTGCAGCCAGAGAGCACACTGAACACCACCCATGATGCATCCAGAGCAAACTTGCCCAACATAACAAACTTTAAGTATTGATGGAGTTTCTCAAGATTAACTTGGCAGGATGTGAGTTGTAGTTCACCCACAACCTTATGCATTTTGTACAATTAAAATTCACTTTTTCAAATATCCCAGGCTATGCCGGGTACCCAAGCTAGTAAATAATGTAACATAGACAATAATTACATGTCAATTAGTAAAAGCAATATAACACAATACTGTGAGCATAAACAAACAATTAAAAAGACAATAAGGCCCTCAAAACCCAGTATATAATGCCATTTAAAACCAGCTATTCCTATGATCAGAGTATCCAGACTATAAATTATAGTTCTAATAACCATTAGTCTTCCTCTATGGTGGAATGGGGTTGTGAGTGTCCTCCAACTCTGTGATGCAATGAATTTCTCTATCCCTATTTCTCCATGGGAATTCTAATCTAATGTCTATGACGTTGCATGGCCGTCTGTTGGGAGGGTTTTGATGGTGTCTTCCTTCCTGGCAGAAGGGGGTTAGACTGGATGGCCTTTAGTGGTCTCTTCCAACTCTAGGATTCTGTAGCCCTATTTCTTCATGGGACTTGTAATGTCTATGAGGCTGGCTGGCCATCTGTCAGGAGGGATCAGATTGTGTCTTTCTCTATGGTGAAATGGGGTTAGGAGTCTCTTCCAACTATGTGATGCAAATACTCTATCTAGTCGTATTGCTCCATGGAACTTCAAATTTAATGTCTATGAGGTTGGATGGCCATATGTCGGGAGAGTTTTGATTGTGTCTTCCTTTGTGGCATAAGGGTGTTGGATTGGATGGCCTTTGGAGGTCACTTCCAATTCCAGGGTTCTGCAGCCCAATTTTTCCATGAGGGTTGAAATGTCTATGAGGCTGCCTGGCCTTCTGTCGAGAGGGATCAGATTGTATCTCGGGAGGGTTTGAATGGTGGCAGAAGGGGGTTGGATTGGATGGTCTTTGGGGTTCCATTCCAGCTCTAGGATCTTCTATCCCTATTTCTTCATGAGACTTGTAATGTCTATGAGGCTGCCTGGCCTTCTGTCGAGAGGGATCAGATTGTATCTCGGGAGGGTTTGAATGGTGGCAGAAGGGGGTTGGATTGGATGGTCTTTGGGATTCCATTCCAGCTCTAGGATCTTCTATCCCTATTTCTTCATGAGACTTGTAATGTCTATGAGGATGTCCATCTGTCGAGAGGGATCGAATTTTGTCTTTCTCTATGGTGGAATGGAGTTAGGGGGTCTCTTCCAACTCTGTGATGTATGATTCCCTCTAGCCCTATTTCTCTATGGGACTTCTAATCTAATGTCTATGAGGTTGGATAGCCATCTGTTGGCAGGGTTTTGATGGTGTCTTCCTTCCTGGCAGAAGGGGATTGGACTACGGCGCCTGCCTCTTCTGCTGCTAATTCGAACTAGCACTTGATCTCCCTCTCCCTATCCCTCCATGCCGCACTTTAGATAGTACTTAGAGCCAGACTTGGGTACCTTGTTGCACTTTAAGATCTTTGCACTTTATGAATTGCTCCAGTGGCACGCAGCTGTGACGCCTACTGTGTTTGCACTTAAGACTCTTGCACTTTATGAAGCTGTTCCAACTGTTCGCAGCTGTGACGCATACTGCACCTTGCTACTGTCAGTCTTATTGAAGTATTCCATCATTACCCATGCGGTACCCTATCCCCCTAGTTGTACTGTCCTTGGTATTAGTGACTTGTGGAAGGGGCAAGGGACGAAGCGGGCTGGAGGCGGTGGGTAACAATAAGGGGGGGAGGGGGGAGAAAGGGAATGGAGAAAGTTGGCAAGAAAAAACTCCAACAAACCAAACAACCATTAATGGAACAGAAATTGAGACCATGGATTTGGACTGCGGCATGGAGGAGGGGAGGTGTTCCACTAGCCGAGGGGCCCCCATAGAAGTCGTGGTGGGGAAGGGGAGATGCGGGAAAAGGAGACCACAAATTCGGCCTAATTCGGATCGCATATCTACATTAATAATCCCAAACCGGTCTCCTATGGTAAATTGGTGTAACCAGGTTGGCGGTCCCTCCGGATTGAAGGTGGTGCTGTTGAACGCCAGATCTGTCAACGGAAAAACGACCTTTATCCAGGACTTAATCCTGGATGAGCGGGCAGATCTGGCGTGCATCACGGAGACCTGGTTGGATGAAGCTGGAGGTGTGAATTTAACTCAGCTTTGTCCTCCAGGGTTCTCCGTGCAGCATCAACCGAGATCCGGAGGGCGGGGAGGCAGGGTCGCAGTGGTCTATAGAGATTCCATCCATCTGACCAGGAGTCCCATCCCGCAGTCAACAAATTTTGAATGCGTCCACCTGAGGGTGGGTGACCGGGACAGAATAGGGATTCTGTTAGTGTACCGTCCACCTCGCTGCACTACAGTCTCCCTACCTGAGCTAGCGGGGGTGGTCTCGAGCCTGGCGTTGGAGTCTCAACGGCTTCTTGTGCTGGGAGACTTCAATATCCACGCCGAGACGGCCCTCACAGGAGCGGCTCAGGACTTCATGTCTGCCATGGCAACCATGGGGCTGTCCCAACAAATATCTGGCCCCACCCACTGTGCTGGACATACATTGGACTTGGTTTTCTGCCAGGGATGGGAGCAAGGTGGCGGTGTGGAGGAGTTGACCATCTCTCCGTTGCCATGGACCGACCATTTCCTGGTCAGATTTAGGCTCACTGCGCCCCCCAACCTCTGCAAAGGTGGAGGACCCATTAAGTTGGTCCGCCCCAGGAGGCTTATGGATCCGGATGGATTCCTGACGGCTCTTGGGGATTTTCCCGCCACCTCGGTAGGTGACCATGCCTCCGCCGTCCAGCTCGTTAGTCGTCCCGTCGTCCGCACGCTAGTCGGAACCAAGTCGAGCGCGTCTCGTTTCCGGAATCGATCGTACCGTTATTCCGTCGCCCGTCCCAGTTTCACACACGCCGTCCCTTTTATCCATCGAGTCCCGCTGTCCCCCAACCTCGCGTCACACACGTCGTACCGCGCCGCGCCGCGCCAACCGACGCGTTTCACGCGTCTCCCGCTCGCGTGAGAACGCACCGTCGCGTCGCGTCGGTAAAGCGGCCCGTCCCGTACACGCGTCCCGAGTCCATCGCGTCGATACCGTCTCCGTTAACAGCGCCGTCTCAGGCCGTAAGGCGTTCGCTCTCGGTCCGTCGCGGGCCGCGTCCTGCTCTCGAGTCCTCACCTCGCCGTCGGTCGTCGCGCCGCACGTAGCTCCCCGTGATACGCTCCGTATACTCGTCCGATGTTCCGTCCCCGCGCCTCCAGCCCCTACGCCCCCCCCCCCCCCCAGTCCCGCCCCCCACCCAGCAGCCCTTCCTCTCGGACTCCGCACCGCTCCTCCTCCATCGTTTTCTCGTCCGCATCGCCTTCAGGCGTCCTCCCCGGGGCGGTCCGTCCCCGGGCGTTCGTTACCCGTCACTAGTCGTACGTTCGCACGCCGCCCAGGCCCCGTCGTTCGGCCCCCCGTTCGTACCGTACAGACTTCCTGCACCCGCCGCGTTTAAGCGATTCCCCGCTTACCGTCGTTCGTCCGTGTCGTTCGTGAACGTGACCGCCCGTCACCCGTTCGTATTTCTCGCCGCGCTTCTCACACGCGTACGTCGTACTCCGTCGTACGTCTTCGTCCTTAGCCGCCCACCGTCGCCCGGTCGTTCCGTGTCGCCAGCGTACGTTCTTCGCTCGCGTACGCGTTGCACCGTCTCAGCAGTCCTCCGACCCCCGCCAGTACCGTCCGGTCGTCCTCTCACCAAGTCACTCGCCCCCCTCCGTCCCATTAAGATGGTCCGCCCCAGGAGGCTTATGGATCCGAACGGATTCCTGATGGCTCTTGGGGATTTTCCCGCCACCTCGGTAGGTGACCATGTCGAGGCCTTGGTCGCTCTCTGGAATGGGGAGATGGCCAGGGCAATTGACATGATCGCTCCGGAACGTCCCCTCTCAAGTAGTCGAGCTAAACCAGCTCCTTGGTTTACTGAGGAGCTGGCAGTGATGAAGCGAAGGAAGAGGGAACTAGAGAGCGTGTGGCGTTCGGATCTGAGCGAGTCAAATCGAACACGGTTTGTGTCCTTTCTAAGGGCATATGCCGCGGCAATAAAAGCGCAAAGAAAACTTTCTTTGCGGCCACTATTGCGTCTGCAAGGAACCGTCCGGCGGAGTTGTTCCGGATTGTCAGAGGTCTTTTAACTCCCCCCCTCAGGCGGGAGCCCTGACAATTCGGCCACGCGCTGTGAAGCATTTGCTCGGTTCTTTGCAGACAAAGTCGCTTTGATCCGTTCTGGCCTGGACACCATATTAAATGCAGTCTCCGAGGATGTGACACGAGCACCTGCTTGTCCTATTTTGATGGATTCTTTTCAGTTTGTGAAACCCGAGGATGTGGACAAGATACTTGGAGGAATGAGGCCACCACGTGCATCCCTGACCCCTGCCCATCCTGGCTTCTGAAGGAGGGCAGAGGGGGATTGGCTGAGTGGGTAACGGTGGTGGTTAATGCCTCCCTTCGGGAAGGCAAGATTCCAGCGAGCTTAAAACAAGCTATTATAAAACCGCTGTTGAAAAAACCATCACTGGACCCCACTAAATTTGACAACTTTAGGCCTGTTTCCAATCTCCCCTTTTTGGGCAAAGTCATGGAAAGCGTGGTGGCCTCACAACTCCAGGTATTCTTGAGAGACACGGATTATCTGGATTCGGCACAGTCTGGTTTCAGACCGGGACATGGGACTGAGACGGTCTTGGTCGCCTTAGTGGATGATCTGCGCCGGGAGCTAGACAGGGGGAGTGTGTCCCTGTTGGTGCTCCTGGACCTCTCAGCGGCCTTCGATACCGTCGACCACGGTATCCTTCTGGGGCGTCTTGCGGAAATGGGCCTCGGGGGCACTGTTCTGCAGTGGCTCCGGTCATTTCTGGAGGGCCGCACCCAGAAGGTGTTATTGGGGGACACCTGTTCAACGCCACAGCCTTTGACTTGTGGGGTTCCACAGGGCTCTATACTGTCCCCCATGCTGTTTAATATCTACATGAAGCCGCTGGGTGAGATCATCCGGAGTTTCGGGGGTGCGGTGTCATCTGTACGCAGATGATGTCCAACTCTGTCACTCCTTTCCACCTGCTACTAAGGAGGCTGTCCAGGTCCTGAACCGGTGCTTGGCCGCTGTGATGGTCTGGATGAGGGTGAACAAATTGAAATTGAATCCAGACAAGACAGAGGTACTCCTGGTCAGTCGCAAGGCCGAACAGGGTATAGGGTTACAGCCTGTGCTGGATGGGGTCGCACTCCCCTTGAAGGCGCAGGTTCGCAGCTTGGGTGTGATCCTGGATTCATCGTTGAGCCTGGATCCCCAGGTTTCAGCGGTGACCAGGGGAGCATTTGCACAGCTTCAGGCTCGTGCGCCAGCTGCGCCCGTACCTCGGGAAGTCTGACTTGGCCACGGTAGTACACGCTCTGGTCACATCCCGCCTTGACTACTGCAACGCTCTCTACGTGGGGCTGCCCTTGAAGACGGCCCGGAAGCTCCAGCTAGTCCAGCGCGCGGCAGCCATGTTACTAACAGGAGCGGGACGCAGGGAGCACACAACGCCCTTGTTGTTCCAGCTCCACTGGCTGCCGATCTGCTACCGGGCCCAATTCAAGGTGCTGGTGTTGGCCTACAAAGCCCTAAACGGTTCCGGCCCAAAATACCTGTCTGACCGCATCTCGGCCTATGAGCCCACGAGGACTTTGAGATCGTCTGGGGAGGCCCTTCTCTCGATCCCGCCTGCCTCACAGGCACGCCTGGCGGGGACGAGAGATAGGGCCTTCTCGGTGGTGGCCCCGGCTGTGGAACACCCTCCCTGTAGACATCAGACAGGCGCCCTCCCTTATGACATTCCGCAAGAGACTAAAGACGTGGTTGTTTGAGAAGGCGTTTGACTAAGTGCTACAACAATTGGCAATGATGATTGGAACGGAATATGGATAACGAGGTTGGATTGTGATTCTATGATGAGACGTCGCGAATGATTTAGTGTAATTGTATTATTGATAGTGATGTTGTTATTGTTGTTTGTGATATTGCCTTTATTGTAAATTGTTTTTATATGTTGTACACCGCCGTGAGTCGCCCTAGGGCTGAGAACGGCGGTCTACAAGTGCAGTAAATAAATAAATAAATAAATAAATAAATGGCCTTTGGGGGTCCCTTCCAACTCTAGAACTCTATAGCCCCTTCTGCTTGTAATATCGATGAGCCTGGATGTTCATCTATGGGGAGGCTTTGGACTGGATGGCCTTTGGGGGTCCCTTCCAACTCTAGGATTTTATTGCCCCTTCTGCTTGTAATATCGATGAGGATGGATGGTCATCTGTTGGGAGGTGGCTGGGAGGGGGTGGATGGTGGCAGAAGGAGTTGGACTGGGTGGCCATTGGGGGTCCCTTCCAACTCTAGGACTCTATTGCCCCTTCTGCTTATAATATCGATGAGGATGGATGGTCATCTGTTGGGAGGGGGTGGATGGTGGCAGAAGGAGTTGGACTGGGTGGCCATTGGGGGTCCCTTCCAACTCTAGGACTCTATTGCCCCTTCTGCTTGTAATATCGATGAGGATGGATGGTCATCTGTTGGGAGGGGGGTGGATGGTGGCAGAAGGAGTTGGACTGGGTGGCCTTTGGGGGTCCCTTCCAACTCTAGGACTCTGTTGCCCCTTCTGCTTATAATATGAATGAGGTTGGATGGTCATCTGTCGGGAGGGTTTGGATGGTGGCAGAAGGGGGTTGGACTGGATGGCCTTTGGGGGTCCCTTCCAACTCTAGGACTCTGTTGCCCCTTCTGCTTATAATATGAATGAGGTTGGATGGTCATCTGTCGGGAGGGTTTGGATGGTGGCAGAAGGGGGTTGGACTGGATGGCCTTTGGGGGTCCCTTCCAACTCTAGGACTCTATTGCCCCTTCTGCTTGTAACATCTATGAGGCTGGATGGTCATCTCTCAGGAGGGTGTGGATGGTGGCGGAAGGGGTTGGACTAGATGGCCTTTGGGGGTCCCTTCCAACTCTAGGACTCTATTGCCCCTTCTTCTGCTGTAACATCTATGAGGCTGGATGGTCATCTGTCGGGAGGGTGTGGATGGTGGCAGAAGGAGTTGGACTGGGTGGCCATTGGGGGTCCCTTCCAACTCTAGGACTCTGTTGCCCCTTCTGCGTGTAATATGAATGAGGTTGGATGGTCATCTGTCGGGAGGGTGTGGATGATGGCAGAAGGAGTTGGACTGGGTGGACTTTAGGGGTCTCTTCCCACTCTGGGTCTCTATAGCCCCTTCTGCTTATAATACGATTGAGGTTGGATGGTCATCTGTCGGGAGGGTGTGGATGGTGGCAGAAGGGGTTTGACGGGATGGCTTTGGGGGTCCCTTCCAACTCTAGGACGTGTGGTGGCTTCACAACTCCAGGTATTCTTGGAAGACACGGATTATCTGGGTTCGGCACAGCCTGGCTTTAGGCTGGGACATGGAACTGAAACTGTCTTGGTCGTCTTAGTGGATGATCTTCGCCGGGAACTGGACAGGGGGAGTGTGTCCCTGTTAGTTCTGTTGGACCTCTCAGCAGCCTTCGATACCGTTGACCACAGTATCCTTCTGGGATGCCTCGCAGGAATGGGCCTTGGAGGTACTGTCCTGCAGTGGCTCCGGTCCTTCCTAGAGGGTCGATCTTAGAAGGTGTTGTTAGGGGACATCTGTTCTGCCCCACAACCATTGTCTTGTGGGGTACCACAGGGATCAATACTGTCTCCTATGTTGTTTAACATCTACATGAAGCCGCTGGGGGAGATCATCTGGAGTTTCGGGGTACGATGTCATCTGTACGCGGATGATGTCCAACTCTGTCACTCCTTCCCACCTGCTACTAAGGAGGCTGTTCAGGTCCTGAACCGGTGCTTGGCCTGTGACGGTCTGGATGAGGGCGAACAAATTGAAATTGAATCCAGACAAGACAGAGGTACTCCTGGTCAGTCGTAAGGCCGAACAGGGTATAGGGTTACAGCCTGTGTTGGATGGGGTCACACTCCCCCTGAAGACGCAGGTTCGCAGCTTGGGTGTGATCTTGGACTCATCGCTGAGCCTGGAACCCCAGGTTTCAGCAGTGACCAGGGGAGCATTTGCACAGTTAAAACTTGTGCGCCAGCTGCGCCCGTATCTTGGGATCTGACTTGGCCACGGTAGTCCACGCTCTGGTTACATCCCGCTAGACTACTGCAACGCTCTCTACGTGGGGTTGCCTTTGAAGACTGCGGAAGCTTCAAATGGTCCAGCGGGCAGCCAGGTTGCTAACAGGAGCGGCACTCAGGGAGCATACAACTCCTCTGTTGCGCCAGCTCCACTGGCTGCCAGTTTGCTACCGGGCACAATTCAAAGTGCTGGCGTTAGCCTATAAAGCCCTAAACGGTTCTGGCCCTACTTACCTCTCTGAACGCATCTCCTCCTATGAACCGACCAGGACACTAAGATCGTCTGGGGAGGCCCTGCTCTCGGTCCCGCCTGCATTGCAGGCGCGCCTGGCGGGGACGAGAGACAGGGCCTTCTCAGTGGTGGCCCCTTGGCTGTGGAATGCCCTACCTGCAGACATCAGATCGGCCCCCTCGCTGTTGGCGTTTTGGAGGAAGGTGAAGACCTGGCTATTCGAACAAGAGTTTGACTAAACAGTAAAATTGAACATAGGAATACAGAACAATGGATAATGAGAGTGGATTCTGATTTTATTGTTGAGGCGTTATGATTGTTATACTGTTGTTAATTGTTGATGTTATAATCTGTTTTAATTGCATTATACTGTTTTGTGATATTTTGCATTGTTGTGTAAACCGCTTTGAGTCGCCTAAGGGCTGAGAAAAGCGGTACAGAAATAAATATATAAATAAATAAATAATAAATAGGACTCTGTTGCCCCTTCTGCATATAATATGGATGAGGTTGGATGGTCATCTGTCGGGAGGGTTTTGATAGTGGCAGAAGGGGGTTGGACTGGATGACCTTTGGGGGTCTCTTTCAACTCTAGGACTCTATTGCCCCTTCTGCTTGTAATATCGATGAGGCTAGATGGTCATCTGTCAGGAGGGTGTGGATTTTTGCAGAAGGGGTTGGACTGGATGGCCTTTGGGGATCCCTTCCCACTCTAGGTCTCTATAGCCCCTTCTCCTTATAATATGAATGGGGTTGGATGGTCATCTGTCGGGAGGGTTTGGATGGTGGCAGAAGGGGGTTGGACTGGATGGCCTTTGGGGGTCCTTCCAACTCTAGGACTGTGTTGCCCCTTCTGCTTATACTATGAATGAGGTTGGATGGTCATATATCGGGAGGCTTTGGATGGTGGCAGAAGGGGTTGGTCTAGATGGCCTTTGGGGGTCCATTCCAACTCTAGGACTGTGTTGCCTCTTCTGCTTATAATATGAATGAGGTTGGATGGTCATATATCGGGAGGCTTTGGATGGTGGCAGAAGGAGTTGGACTGGATGTCTTTGGGGGTCCCTTCCAACTCTAGGACTCTGTTGCGCCTTGTGTTTGTAATATCGATAAGGCTGGATGGTCATCTGTTGGGAGGGGGCAGATGGTGGCAGAAGGGGTTGGTCTAGATGGCCTTTGGGGGTCCCTTCCAACTCTAGGATCTTATATCCGTATTTCTTCATGGGACTTTTAAATGTCTATGACGATGGACATCTGTTGAGAGGAATCAAATTGTGTCTTTCTCTATGGTCTAATGGGGTTAGGTGTCTCTTCCAGTTCTGTGATGTATGATTCCCTCTAGCCCTATTTCTCCATGGGACTTCTAATTTATTATTTATTTATTTATTTATTTAATACACTTATATACCGCAGTATCTCAGCCTGGAACGGCGACTCATTGCGGTTTAACAACAGATAAAAGCAATATACAATTTAAAAACAGCAACATATAAAACAATACGAATTATTGGGCCACCAATAAAACTTCATGCTTCTCATCACAAAAATCGCAGTCCAGAGATCGTTGTCCGTAATTGACCAGTCCAAATTGTCCATGGATTCAGTGTTTGATAACTAGTTAAACGCTTGACTACACAGCCATGTTTTTAACCTCTTCCGGAAAACCATCAGCGAAGAAGCCGATCGTATCTCTGAAGGGAGGGTGTTCCAAAGCCGAGGGGCTACCACAGAAAAGGCCCTGTCTCTCGTTCCCACCAGCCGCGCTTGGGAAGCCGGCGGGATAGAGAGCAGGGACTCTCCAGAAGATCTTAGGGCCCTGGCGGGCTGATAGGCTGAGATGGATGGTCATCTGTTGGGAGGGGTTGGATGGTGGCAGAAGGAGTTGGACTGGGTGGCCATTGGGGGTCCCTTCCAACTCTAGGACTCTATTGCCCCTTCTGCTTATAATATCGATGAGGATGGATGGTCATCTGTTGGGAGGGGTGGATGGTGGCAGAAGGGGCTTGGACTGGATGGCCTTTGGGGGTCCCTTCCAACTCTAGGACTCTATAACCCAGGGGTCCACAAACTTTTTAAACAGAGGGCCAGGTCACAGTCCCTCAAACTGTTGGAGAGCCGGATTATAATTTGAAAAAAAAAACATGAATGAATTCCTATGCACACTGTACATATCTTATTTGTAGTGCAAAAAACACTTTAAAACAATACAATAATTAAAATGAAGAACAATTTTAACAAATATAAACTTATTAGTATTTCAATGGGAAGTGTGGGCCTGCTTTTGGCTGATGAGATAGGATTGTTGTTGTTGTTGTGTGCTTTCAAGTAGTTTCAGACTTAGGTTGACCCTGAGCGAGGGCCGGGTAAATAACCTTGGAGGGCCTATCCAGCCCCGCGGGGCCTTAGTTTGAGGATCCCTGCTATAGCCCCTTCTGCTTGTAATATCGATGAAGCTGGATGGTCATCTGTCAGGAGGGTTTGGATGGTGGCAGAAGGGGGTTGGAGTGCCTGGCATTTGGAGGTCCCTTCCAACACTAGGCTTCTATAGCCCCTTATGCTTGTAATAGCAATGAGGCTGGATGGTCATCTGTCGGGAGGGTTTGGATGATCGCAGAAGGGGGTTGGACTGGATGGCCTTTGGGTGTCCCTTCCAACTCTAGGCCTCTATAGCCCCTTCTGCCTGTAATATCGATGAGGCTGGATGGTCATCTGTCGGGAGGGTTTGGATGGTTACAGAAGGGGTTGGACTGGATGGCCTTTGGGTGTCCCAACTCTAGGCCTCTATAACCCCTTCTGCTTGTAATATCGATGAAGCTGGATGGTCATCGGTCGGGAGCATTTGGATGGTGGCAGAAGGGGGTTGGACTGGATGGCCTTTGGGTGTCCCTTCCAACTCTTAGACTCTATTGCCCCTTCTGCTTATAATATCGATGAGGCTGGATTGTCATCTGTCGGGGGGGTTTGGATGGTGGCAGAAGGAGTTGGACTGGATGGCCTTTGGGGGTCCCTTCCAACTCTAGGACTCTATTGCCCCTTCTGCTTATAATATCGATGAAGTTGGATGGTTATCTGTCGGGAGAGTTTGCATAGTGGCATGAGGCGGTTGGACTGGATGGACTTTGGGGGTCCCCTCCAATTCTAGGACTCTAGCCCCTTCTGCTTGTAATATCGATGGGGTTGGATAGTCATCTGTCAGGGAGGGTTGCAGAAGAGGGGCAGAAGAGGGTTGCAGTGGCTTGCCTTAGGGGGTCCCTTCTAGCATCCTGTATCGCTATTTCTCTATGAACCTTGTGATATCTATGAGAGTGGCTGGTCATCTGTCGCGAGGGATCGAATTGTGTCCTTCCGGGTTGGACTAGATGGCCCTTGGGGGTCCCTCCCAGCTCATTCCTCTTTCCCAGCCTGCAACGCTGCGCCTCCCGCCCGCCCTCCTTCCTTCCTTCCCTCCCTCCTTCCCTGCCTGCCTTCGCCTCCGTCTTCCCCTCGCCCTTTTCATTGGGAGTCTCGGGCAGGCCATGGCTGCTGGGCCTCCTGCTGGCGGATGCCTTGGCCACCCCTTCGGAAGAACCTTTTGTCCGGCAGTTGGGAAGACCCCTTCGCCGGGCAGCTGGGCGACCTCTCGGCTTGCCGGGAGCGCTGCGTCCGAAGCCTCCGGAGTCCTGGAGCCCCTCCCGGGGAGAGTCAGGTACATCCACCCCCATCCAAGGGCCGCCGGAAGAAGGGGAGCCGGCCCCCTCTTGGAGCCATTGTGCCATTGAGAGAAAGGGCTGCAGGGGATGGAACAGGCCGCCTCCTGCCTTCTTGTGCAGAAGGAGAAGAAGATGCACATGATGCATCTCTTGAAGGAGGGAGGGAGGGAAAACACACCATCTAGCCCTATCTATCAGGCCTATAATCCAAAGTCAGAGCTCCATATATTATTGATTATTATTATTATTATTATTATTATTATTATTATTATTATATGGAGCTCTGCAGTATAGGAAGGGTGTGCGCGTGTGTGCGTGTAAGGTCTGATTTCAAGTATTATGAAGATAAATATATATAAATAAATAGATAAATATATGCACACATCTCTCTTCTCTTGATCCCTCTGTAGGAATATATGGACTATATGTTTTCGTATGTTTTAGGCTTACTTACTTAGGCGATCCCTCGTTGTTCGAGTAGGATAGTCTTCCAAGATCAGTGTACTGGTGGTTGGTCCGTAGGTGACTGTGGAGCCCTATTCTTGACCCGCATCTTCTCCCGCAGTGAGGACATCAGTTTGGGGTTGGCTTGATGCGCCTTTCTCTTGGCACGTTTCTCTCTTTCGCTCTCCATTCGTGCCCCTTCAAATTCTACAGCACTGCTGGTCACAGCTGACCTACAGCTGGAGCGCTCAAGGGCCAGGGCTTCCCAGTTCTCGGTGTCTATGCCAGAGTTTTTAAGGTTGGCTTTCAGACCATCTTTAAATCTCTTTTCCTGCCCACCAACATTGCGTTTTCAAGTTCGGAGTAGCTCAACTGCTTTGGGAGACAGTGGTTGGGCATCCGGACAGCATGGCCGGTCCAGTGGAGCTGATGGCGGAGGACCATCGCTTCAGTGCTGCTGGTGGTCTTTGCTTCTTCCAGCATGCTGACATTTGTCCACTTGTCTTCCCAAGAGATTTGCAGGATTTTCCGGAGTCAGCACTGATGGAATCGTTCTAGGAGTTGCATGTGACGTCTGTAGATACTCCACGTTTTGCTGGCATATAGCAGGATTGGGAGGACAATAGCTTTATAAACAAGCACCTTGGTGTCCCTACGGATGTCCCGGTCCTCAAACACTCTCTGCTTCATTCGGAAAAAATGCTGCACTTGCAGAGCTCAGGCAGGGTTGTATTTCAGTGTCAGTGTTGACTTTGGTGGAGAGGTAGCTGCCAAGGGAGTGGAAATGGTCAACATTTTCTAATGTTACACCATTAAGCTGTATTTCTGGCATTGGAAAGGGATCGGCTGGTGASTGCTGGAAAAGCACTTGGGTTTTCTTAATGTTCACTAGCTCTGCCTTTGGAGTATAGGCAGTACAGGAAGGGTGTGTGTGTGTGCTTGTGTGTAAGATCTTATTTCAAGTATTATTAAGATAAATAGACGGATGGATCGATAGATAGATAGATAGATAGATAGATAGATAGATAGATAGATGCACATATCTCTCCTCTCTTGATCCCTCTGTAGGAATATATGGATTATATCATTTTGTATGTTTTAGGCAGGGAGAAGGACAAGACAAAGCCCCATCCTTTCAGGATTGCTGCTTTTTAATATGAGGATAATAGATATGCAGTATGGAGATGTATTTGTGTGTGTGTGTGTGCATGATTTTGTACATTTTGAGAAGAGCAATGAGGGATATCTATCCTTTCCTGGACTCTCTTGATGGATATATGAATTATCTCTCTCTCTCTTTCTCTTTACTGTAATATGATTTCATATCTTTTTGAGAGGGAGAGGAACAAGATATATCCATCCTTCTTGGATCTCCGTATATCTCTGAATCATATGTGTATGTATGTATATATGTGTGCGTGTGTGTATCAATATGATGTATGCGGTTTCTCAAGTCACTCCTGACACAACAAAAAAAAGATGTATATATGATATATCCATATGTGTGTGTATATATGCATACACATGGATATATACGACATATATAAGACATATCCATATTTGTGTAAGTGTATGTGTATATGTGTGTGTATATATACATGCAATATGAGATATATATATATATATATATATATATATATATATATATATATATATATAATATTGCATGTATATATATACACACACACAATAAAAGTGAAAATGTGTATGTGGCAGAGATGTCCACTTATACAGATATATGTGTGTATAAATATGCAATATGATATGTGTGTGCATGTGTGTGTATAAATGCTCTGTTCGTTTTGAGTGACATCATAACTCAAAATCCGCTGGATGAATTGCCACGAAATTTGGCCACAAGACACCTACTAACCCTTATATTTTGAGAGAGAGGAACAAGAAATATATCCATGTATATATTTAAATCTATAAATACATGTATGTGTGTGTATTTATATATGTGTGTGTGTGTGTGTATTGTATACACATATATACATATATGTGTGTATATTTATGTATGTATATCTGTGGGATTTAGTAATACGGTTTCATATATTTTCAGAGAGAGAAGAGCATGGCATGCAGCCATCCTTTTTATTACTCTCTCTTTATGGATATATGCATTCTCTATAAAGGGACGCATTTCTTTTATTATTCTGTATGGTTTTAATTGGGCAGGAAGGCAGCAGAAGAGAAATTGGTGTGATATAATTCTCTATAATGTATGTCAAATTCTGTATTCCTTTGCATTTTTGGTTAATTTCAAAACTTAATTTATTAGTTTCACTCTTGGGAGATATGTGAGCCTGCCATTCCCTCATACACCCCCCCCCCCAATTCTCTTCATTCTTTCCTTTCATTTTCCTTCTTTTTCTTTCTTCCCCTTCCCTTCTTTCTTTCATCCCTTCCTTTATCTTCCCTTCCCTTCTTTCTCTTACTTTCCTTCAATCCCCTCATACCTTTCCCACTTTCCTTTCTCTTCCTTCCTCCTCCAATCCTTTCCTTTCTTTTTCTCTTCCTTTTCTTTCTTTCTTCCCTCTCTTTGTTCCTTCCTACACTTCCTTCTTCTGTCCTTCCTTCTTTCCTTTCCTTCAATCCCCTCATACCTTTCCTTTCCCTTCCTTCCTTCTCCAATCCCTTTCCTTCTTTTTCTCTTCCTTCCCTTCCCTCCCTTTGTTCTTTCCTTTCCTCCTTCCTTCTCTTCCTCCTTCCTTCCTTCCTTCCTTCCTTCCTTCCTTCCTTCCTTCCTTCCTTCCTTCCTTTCTTCCTTCCTTTCTTCCTTCCCTTCTCCTTTCCCCTTCTCTTCCTTCCTTCCTTCCTTCCTTCCTTCCTTCCTTCCTTCCTTCCTTCCTTCCCCAATCCTTTCCATTTTTGTCTTCCTTCCCTTCCCCTTTTCTTTCCTTCCTTTCCTCCTTTTGTCCTCTTTCACTTCTTCTTTCTTTCCTTTCTCCCCTTCCTCTTTCCTTCTGTCTTTTCCTTCCTTCAATCTCCTCATTCCCCTTTGCTTTCTCTTCCATCCATCCTTCCTTTCACCTTTCATCAGTCCTTCCTTTTAACTTCCTTCCATCCTTTTTTCTTTCCTTTTTTCCATTCTTCCTTCCTTCCTTCTGCAACCTTTGCCATTCTTTTTCTCTTTCCTTCCTTCCTTCCCTCTCTTTGTTCCTTCCTACCCTGCCTCTCTCCTTCCTTCATTCCTTCCTTCCTTCCTCTTTCCTTCCTTCCTTCTGTCCCCTCCTATCTTTCCTTTCTCCTTCTTCCATGCATCTCTCCTTTTTTCTTTTCCTTCCTTCCTTCCTTCCTTTTTTCCTTCCCTTCCTTCCTTTTCCTTCCCTTTTTCCTTCCTTCCTTCCTTCCTTCCTTCCTTCCTTCCTTCCTTCCTTCCTTCCTTCCTTCCCCTCTTATCTTTTCCCTTTCCTTTCTCTTTCATCCATCAGTCATCCTTCCTTCCTTTTAACTTCCTTCCATCCTTTTTTCTCCTTCCTCCCTTCTCCAATCCTTTCTCTTCTTTTCCCCTTCCTTTCCTTTCTTCCTTCCCCCCTTTGTTTCTTCCTTTCCTCCTTCACTTTCTCTTTCCTTCCTTTTCCCCTCTTACCTTTCCTTTTTTCCTTTCTCTTCCTTCCTTCCATCCATCCTTCCTTTTAACTTCCTTCCATCCTTTTTTCTTCCTTCCCTCCTGACTGCCTGCCTGCCTTCCTTCCCCAGTCTTTTTTCTTCTTTTTCTCATCCTTTTCTTTCCCTTCCTTCTTTCTTTCCTTCAATCTCCTTATACCTTTTCCCCTTTGCTTTCTCTTCCACGCATCCTTCTTTTCCCTTCCATCCACTCCTCCTTTCACCTTCTTTCCATCCTTTTTTCTCTTTCTTCCTTCCATTCTTTCTTCCTTCTCCAATCCTTTGCCTTCTTCTCTTCCTTCCCTCCCTTCCTTCCCTCCCTTTGTTCCTTCCTTCCTTTCCTCCTTCCTTCCATTTCCCCTTCTTCTTTTAATCCTTCATTCCCTTCCTCTTTCCTTCCTTCAATCTCCTTATACCTTTCCCCCTTTGCTTTCCCTTCCATCCATCCTTTTTTCTCCTCCCTTACTTCCTCCTTCATTTACACATCACCTCTAGCAGCCAATCCCCTTCACTCCCTTTCCTTCCCAGTGACATCACAGACGGCCACTTCACCTAGCCACAGCCAATCCGCTTTGTTCCTTTGCTTTCTGTCTTCTCTGGGTCTGAAAGAGGTGGGTTTTGAAATTTTTAAAACCCCCATTATTTTAATTTTGGACCAGAGGGTCTGTGGGCTAAACCTGGTCCAGATCCATCAAGCCATGGAGGAGCCTTTGTGGTACAAACATACATACATTCATACATATTGCCCATTTTATAGGTAAATAATGTGTGTGTATGTGTGTGATAGATAGATAGAGTAAAATCTTGGTCTGATATATATCTATATCTCAAGTTAGTATAGTTTTAATGAAATGTTTTTAAAATAAGCCGCTTCGGATCTCCTTTGTGGTGAGAAAAAGCAGGCTATTAATAATATAATTATATTATTAATAATAATAATATCCACCCGTCCCCTGTTTCAAAACCTCCAAAGATGGAGATTCCCAGCTTTCGAGGCCACCCGCTCTCAAAACAGTTCATAAATAATGCTGTTCTTCTTCAGGTGTCGGTGCAATCTGCCTGTTTTTAGGGTTGAAGGATTGTAGGGTTGGCGTGAGGATGAGGAAAAATGATCCTTTTTCCTTCTCATTGACCATACTTGGGCATTGTCTTTATGGGATGCAAACATCCCCATGCCTTGTATGTTTGTGTCTGAGCTGCTAGACTAAAGCAGACTTTTTGCTCAAGTACAGTCCAAATAGACGTTGGCTATCATCATAAATTAATATGATAATCATTTCCTACACTATTACTATATCACGGGACTTAAGCATCCACAATCCTGGAGCCAAACCCCTAATTGTACCAATAAAGGAAACGAAGAGGCTCTATATAAAGGGTGAAAAAATTATTATTATGGGGAAAAGTAGTCTCCACTGAATCTTACACTGAAAAGCTGTACCTGTTTCAACTTTAAAACAAATTCAGATTAAGAACAAATTTACCAAACCTCTCTTGTTCGTAACTTGGGAATTGCCTGTACTTATTTATTGTGTCACTATCGAATTGTGGGTATAGTTATAATGTATTTAAAAAGACACAAACAAAGTTAAAAACTTGGCGTTATACTAAATGTTCTTTAACTAGAAGCTGGCCACTTGGAGTGCCTCTGGTGTTGCTATAAGAAGGTTCTCCAGTGTGCATGTGGCAAGGCTCAGGCTGTATATTGTAATAGGTGGTCTGTGGTTTGCTCTTCTCCATACTCGTATGTGGTGGACTCCACTTTGTAGCCCCATTTCTTAAGGTTAGCGCTGCATCTCATGGTGCCAGAGCAGTTCGCTCAGCGCCTTCCAAGTTGCCCGGTCTTCTCTGTGCCCAGGAAGGAGCTTCTTACCTGGTCTCAGCTACTGATTGCAATTCTGGGTTTTAGCCTGCCACTTTTGGACTCTCGCTTGCTGAGGTGTTCCTGCAAGTACCATATATTCTGGTGCATAAGACTACTTTTTAACCCAAGAAAATCTTCTCAAAAGTCAGGGGTCGTCTTATACGCGGGGTCATCATACACGGGAGTAGTCTTATACACGGGAGTAGTCTTATAAGCGGGAGTAGCCTTATACATGGGGGTAGCCTTATACACGGGGGTAGTCTTATACACGGGAGTCGTCTTATACGCCAGGAGTCGTCTTATAGAGCGGGTGCTAAAACTTCCAATCAGATTGGAGAATCTGTGGTTGCTGCATATGGTGATGGGAGCTCAAAAATGACAGTGGTCGCGTCCCTGCCGTATGCAGCGACTGTATGAAATTATTAAGGGCAACGCTGTACAGGTCGGTAGAAGAAAATCCATTCATCAGGATTTATAGACTTAATGCGGTCCCGATGGTGAGGTGAAGGGGTGCCTCACCAGGAAGATGTAAGTGAAGGGCGGAGCAAGCTGCAGGCGTCTGGGGCGCCCGGGAAAGGAAAAAAGAGATAGAGTGGCTCTGCACCCAGGAAAACACACCTCTTTTACCTGTCTGGCCCGCCCTTGTATCCTATTATCGTACCTCCTCCTCTGCCTCTCAGATCTCGCTCCTGAAGACTACAGTGAAGTGGTGCAGGTGCGCATGTGCAAGATCTGAGAGGCAGAGAAGGAGGTACAGTAATAGGAAAATTACAATATTGAAATCAAATCAGATGCTTTAAAAAATTTTATTTGGTGTGCGTTGGAAGAGGGGTAGTATTATACAGCCCCTATAGGATATATAGAGTATATCCTAAACTCTATATTTTAACTGGAAAAGTTCGGGGTCATCTTATACGCCCAGTTGTCTTATATGCCGGAATATACGGGTATCTCTGTAGATCTTAGGAAGCTGTTTCTTGAATTAAGGCACCGGCTTCCTGGCTGATATTTGAACAGAGGATGGGCCGGACATGTCACTGCCTTGGTCCTTTTATGACTGGTTGCTACTTCCCGATGGATGTCAGGTGGTGCAATACCGGCTAAACAGTATAATTTCTCCAACAGTGTTGAGCGTAGACATCCTGTGATAATGCAGCATGTCTCATTAAGAGCCACATCCACTGTTTTAACATGGTGGGATGTGTTCCACACTAGGCATGCGTATTCAGCAGCAGAATATCACAGCGCAAGAGCAGATGTCTTCACTGTGTCTGGTTGTGATCCCCAGGTTGTGCCAGGCAGCTTTTGTATGATATTGTTTCTAGCACCCACGTTTTGCTTGATATTCAAGCAGTGCTTGTGTATTGTTAATTATGCTTTTATGTCTAATTGTGGTTTTAATTTTGTAATTTGTTATGTAATGGCTTTGGAATGGGGCCCATTGTAAGCTGTCCTGAGTCCCCCTTCGGGGGTTGAGAAGGATGGGATAGAAATGCGAGAAATAATAATAAATAAATAAATAAATCAGAGCACGGTCCAGGGTGACTCTCAGGTATTTTGATGTGCTACAATGCTCCAGTGGGATTCCTTCCCAGGTGATCCTCAGAGCTCAAGATGCTTGTCTGTTCTTAAAGTGAAAAGGACATTTTTGTGTTTTAGATGGATTAGGAATCAGCTGGTTTTCCCTGTAATAGGCAGTAAGAGCACCTAAGGGAGCTTCTGTTCAACCATTTCAAAGCTGCCTGCTTGAGCGGTGATAGCACGATCATCTGCATAGATAAAACTCTCTATCCCTTCTGGTAATGGCTGGTCATTTGTGTAAATGTTAAACATTGATGGAGCAAGCACGCTCCCCCGAAGGAAGGCCATTCTTCTGTTTTTTTCATCTGTTTCTCTGGCCCTGGAACTTCCAGTATAATACAGTGGAATACCACTAGCTGTCCCCTGCCACGCGTTGCTGTGGCCCAGAATGGTGATCTGGAAAATAAAGTAATGAGAAAGTGTTGGTTTCTAATACATGTAATTTCTTTATGCTTGAGGGTAAACAGTATTTCTTGTTGTTGATGTGGAGATTGTCTAGTTTGCCTACACTGGAACATGCGACATATATTGTCCTTCTTTAGGGATCCCTTTCAAATCTATGATACTATATCTCTCTGTGTGTGAATCATATATCTATATCTATGGCTGGATGGCTCTTTGTCAGGAGGGCTTTGATTACGTTTTCTTGCCCTGATGAAGGGAGTTGGATTGGATGGCCTTAAGTATTTTCTGTTGGTCATGGAGGTTCTGTGTAGGAAGTTTGCCCCAATTCTGTCGTTTGTGGGGTTCGGAATGCTCTTTGATTGTAGGTGAACTATAAATCCCAGTAACTACAACTCCAAATGTCAAGGTCTATTTCCCCCAAACTCCATCTGTGTTCATATTTGGGCATATAGAATATTTGTGCCAAGTTTGGTCCAGATCCATCATTGTTTGAGTCCACAGTGGTCTCTGGATGTAGGTGAACTACAACTCCCAAACTCAAGGTCAATGCCCACCAAACCCTTCTAGTGTTTTCTGTTGGTCATGGGAGTCCTGTATGCCACGTTTGGTTCAATTCCATCATTGGTGGAGTTCAGAATGCTCTTTGATTGTAGGTGAACTATAAATCCCAGCAACTACAACTCCCAAATGATAAAATCAATTTTTTGAGTGAGGGACATACATTGGGTTAGTAGGTGTATGCTGTCCAAATTTGGTGGCAATTCGTCCAGTGGTTTTTGCGTTATGTTAATCCCACAAACGAACATTACATTTTTATTTATATAGATTAGTATTATAAAATATATTGTACTATATCATAAGTTGTAGTATATATAATATATAATATTGCAACATTATTAATATTATATATACAGTATATTCTGGCGTATAAGACTACTTTTTAACCCAAGAAAATCTTCTCAAAAATCAGGGGTCGTCTTATACGCGGGTGTAGTCTAATGCATGGGAGTCGTCTTAATCTCTATATTTTAACTGGAAAAGTTGGGGGTCGTCTTATACACCCAGTCGTCTTATATGCCGGAATATACGGTAATATATTAGTATTGTTACATTACATATATTAGTATTATTACATTATGATATGCCAATGGTATCCCTGATATTAATGTGGCAAAATCAAGGTTCACTTTTGGGATTTTTTAAAGAAACATTTCCAAGCCCTAGGTGTTGAATCTGTGGCTCTCAAGTGTCTGGGAATACAGGGGATAATGTATTGTACTACAAGGTAAACACACACACTCATATATTAAACCGTGATCTTTCTGCACCTAATTCCCTCCACTCCAGGATGCCGTTTTCAACGCCTGTTACCGGGGCTGCCGGCTGTTTTCCATCTGTCATTTTGTGGATGCCACCGTGGAGCTGAATGCGACCCAAGCCGAGTGCGAATCAGGTGAGAGAGATGTAGCCGCATCTGCGGATCTTGCCCGGGCTTCCTTCCCTCCTCCCTGCTTTGATGCTTCCCCTCCACAAAAACACACACACACTTCCTGCTCTGAGACACTGTCCAGACCCCTTTCTTCCACTTAGCGTTGTCATCTCCCTGGTGTTTGTGGAGCTTCTGCTACGGATTCTGATAATGCAAAGCACAGGTGGGGACTCTATGATGTTCCCATCTTCCAAAAGACGAGGAGATCAGAGTCTGTGGGAGCCGTCACTCAATTCCTACGATGTTTTGCTTGTGTGTGTATATATATGTGTGTAGGCTTGGGTAACAACAGAAAAATTTGTTTCTAAACTCGTTTCGTTTTTAGGGGTCCATCACATTTTGTTTTTTTAAAGAATTCCGAAATTTTCCTTTTAAAAATTTCGAAATTTACGAAATTTAGTATAATTACAAATCAATTCGTTAATGGCGGATTGCGCAATATGCTAAAAAAAACTCCAAATGGGACAGGGGGAACTTCTGAAGCTTCCCTCTCCCTCTGTTGTTGACTGCTAGTGTGATAAAACAAACAACAACTATAAAACTTGCACCAGACATGCGAAAATAATTACGAAATAATTACAAAATAATTGCAAAATAATTACGAAATAAATTGAAAAAATTGTTTCGAATCTAATTTACTCCTCACACTATTCCTGCATGGCTCAATATTGGATCGTAAGCTAATTTAAATACGAATTAATAACGAATTACAAAATTAACGAACGAAAGTGCCCAAGCCTATGAATGAGATTATGGAGAGTTTAATATGAACCTGTCCTTTGGGGCTTTTCTCTGAGATGAAAAGAGTGGGTTTTCTTGGCTAAACAGGATTCCCAGAGCCTTAGTCCCAGTAACAAGATGATAGGTCCAGTGTTGGAATCTGAGCCTAGCCATGATGGAGCTTGGCCTGCCTCGTCTTCCCTCCCTCTGAGGACAAAGCAGTGACAGTTGGAGAAATGGATGACCTTCCATCTGCTCTTTGGTTTAGATGTCATGACATATCACTTCTCTGTGGACAAAGCAGTGGCAGTTGGGATGGGAAGAAGGTCTTTCCTCCACTTCTCTCCCTCATGGGGTGGAAGATGGGCCTTCCATCTTTTTCTGGGCTTCCTTTTACTACTCCTTGGCTTAGACATCATGGAGCTTTACCTGCCTCTTCTTCTCTTTCTCCTCGTTCCTCTTTTCCCTCAGGACTTAGAAATAATGGAGCTCTGTCTGTCTCCTCTTCTTTTCCTCTGAGGGCAGTGACAGTTGGGATGAAGCTGGAGTCTTTCATTTGATTTTAGGCAAAGCCAGTGGCAGTTGGGAGGGATAGAGAACCATCCATCGGCTCCTTGGCTTAGACATAACAGAGCTTTGCTTGTTTTTCTTATCTCCTTCCTGGCTAGGGCTGTGGAAGTTGGGATGAGGCCTTTTGTTTGTTTTTAGGCCTAGGTATAATGGAGTTTTCACTCTTCTCTTCCTTCGAAGTCAGGGCAGTGGCAGTAGAGATGGAGAGAAGGTGTAGGCATAGGCATGATGTAGCTGGGCCCATCTTCTCTTCCTCTCTCCCGCATCGGCCAGGGCAGTGGCAGTTGGGATGAACGGAGGACCTTTCACCTGCTCCTTAGACATAATGGAGCTTCAGCCATATCCTCTTCTCTCCTTCTGAGATCAGGGCAGTGGCAGAGGGATAGAGGACCATCGATCTGTGGATGAGACCGTGACAGTTGGGATGGCGGTGGAGCTTTTCATTTGCTTTTAGACAAAGCCAGTGGCAGTTGGGAGGGATGGTGAACAATTCACCTGGTCCTTGGCTTAGGCATAACATCATTTGCCTCTCTCCTCTTCTCTCCCTTTGAGTCAAGGCAGTGACAGTTGGAATGGAGGGACAGTCTTTCATTTGCTTCTATGCAAAGCCAGTGTCAGTTGAGATGGTGAGAGGGCCTTCCGTCTACTCCTTGGCTTAGACATAATTGAGCTTTGCCTCTTTCTTCTCTCCTTCTGAGTCAGGGCAGTGACAGTTGGGATGAAGGTGGAGCCTTTCATTTGCTTCTAGGCAAAGCCAGTGTCAGACAGTGAGAGGGCCTTCCATCTACTACTCCTTGGCTTAGACATAATGGAGCTTCACCTGCCTCCTCTTCTCTTTCTCCTCGTTCCTCTTATCCTTCTTCTCATACCCTCTTCCCTTCCGTCTCGGGTGCTGAAGCCTGCATGGAAGCTTACCTGGGTGGAGAGGAACAGTTTGGCTGCTTGACTGGATGCAGGACCCAGATGCCAGTGACAGAAAGCCTAGAAGAAAAGGTAAGTGGATCATTCTATGGAGACCAAAAGCCATTGAGTAGCCATGGTTTGACTTACCTGCCACTTGCAATTTGCTATGTGATTCGATGGCATAGTTTCCTGCTAGAAGTTAACATAGAGTAGCAACAGTGTAGGGGTGGGGGGTCCTAGTAAACAACAACAATAATAATAATAATGCTTAAATGAGTATTCAATTGTTGTAGTTGTTACTGTTGTTATTATTTCTTTGTTGTTTCCTAGGCACAGGATCCGAAGCCGGCTCCATTCTCCGTCTTCGACTTAGTCTCCAACTTCTGTAATGATATTGTCAGCTCGGCTCAGAGCTTCATATCCTCCACCTGGACCTTCTACCTTCAGGCAGACGATGGGAAAGTCGTGGTCTTTCAGGTGAACCTGTTAGGGTGCCATCTTTTTATATCATGATTCTGGAACAACCGCAGATTTGGGGGTCCAAGCCCCAGTAGATAGAGAGAGTCCCACTATTTATCCTTTACCATTCTTGGGGCTGATGGTCTATGATTGCCCAGCAATATCAAGCTGCGATTCACCCTCACCTAGTTTCAAAGCTGAAAAGGGTTGGCAAAAAGAGAGAAAAGGGCTCAAAGAAAGAAAATAGAGGTTGTTTGGGGATGCTGGGAGCTGGAGTCTGGAAAAATTGGGAGGAATGTAGAACTTTCCACCTACTCCTTGGCTTAGACATAATGGAGCTTTGCCTGTGGAGTCTTTCATTTGCTTCTAGGCAAAGCCAGTGACAATTTGGATGGCGAAAGGGCCTTTCACCTACTCCTTGGCTTAAACATAATGAAGTTTGCCTGTTTTTTCCTTCTCTCCCTCTGAATCAGGGCAGTGACAGTTGGGATGAAGGTGGAGTCTTTCATTTGCTTATAGGCAAAGCCAGTGACAGTTGGGATGGTGAGAGGGCCTTCCATCTACTCCTTGGCTTAGACATAATGAAGCTTTGTCTGATTTTTCTTTTTCCTTTCTCAATCAGGGCAGTGACAGTTGGGATGAAGGTGAAGTCTTTCATTTGCTTCTAAACAAGCCAGTGACAATTGGGATGGTGAGAGGGCCCTCCATCTCCTCCTTGTCTTAGACATAACAGAGCTTTGTCTGTTTTTTCTTCTCTCCCTCTCAATCAGGGCAGTGACAGTTATGCCTAAGCCAAGGAGCAGGTGGATTGTACTCCATTCCTCCCAGCTGCCACTGGCTTTGCCTAGAAGCAAATGAAAGACTCCACCTTCATCTCAACTGTTACTGGCCTGATTTAGAGAGAGAGAGGAAAAAACAGGCAAAGCTCCGTTATGAATAACCTGAATAGACTACTGCAGTGCGCTCTACGTGGGGTTGCCTTTGAAAACTGTTTGGAAGCTTCAAGTAGTCCAACGGGTGGGAGCTACATTGCTCATTGGAGCGGCATTCAGGAAGCATACAACTCCCCAGTTACGCCAGCTCCACTGGCTGCCCGTCTGCTACCGAGCACAATTCAAAGTGCTAGCTTTAGCCTACAAAGTCCTAAACTAGTGGTTCCCAATCTTTAGGCCTCCAGGTGTTTTGGACTTCAACTCTCAGAAATCCCAGCCAGCTTACCAGCTGTTAGAAGCTGAAGTCCAAAAGACCTGGAGGCCCAAAGGTTGGCAACCACTGCCTTAATTACTACATGGCCTGCTTACCCAGTGTTTTAAATTTTTAATCCTTGCAATTTGTCCTGCCCAATTACTGTGATATTATATTGTTTGGTGTGTTCATTTATATTGTTTTTGTATTTATTTTGATTTTGATTATATTTTACTGTTTGTATTTTATGTTGTATATTTGTTGTACTGTTGGGCTTGGCCTCATGTAAGCCGCCCCGATTCCCCTTAGGGAGATGGTGGCGGGGTATAAATAAAGTTGTTATTATTATTATTATTATTATTATTATTATTATTATTATTATTACTACTACTACTACTACTACTACTAAATTGTTCCGGCACAGTTTACCTGTCCAAAAGCATCTCCTTCTATGAGCTAATAAGAGCTCTACGATTGTCTGGGGAGGCCCTGTTCTCTTTCCCACCCCCTTTGTAGGTGTGACTGGTAGGGATGAGAGACAGGACCTTCTCAGTGGTGGCCCCTTGGCTTTGGAACTCCCTCCCCAGTGAAATCCAATCAGCCCCCTCCCTCTTGGCCTTCAGAAAGAAAGCAAAGACATGGCTGTGGGATCAAGCCTTTGGTTAGTGGCCCCCCAACTCTGGAACTCATTGCTTGGTGAGATTAGGCAAGCCCCCACCTTAGTAGCCTTCAAGAAGGATCTCAAAACTTGGCTCTTGCGTTGTGCCTTTGGCGAATGATCTGATATTTCCTTTAGTTTGCCCTCCCATAAGGATTGTCCTCATATTGTACTTCCCCCTGCCTGTTTGAAGGCCTGTCTCCACTATTCCGTCTCCTATGAACTTTTCCCATACAAGCATTTTTTTTTAATCCCTATCTCATCCTGAGTTTTTATCATTTTAACTTGTACAGAGGGGCCACCCTTGGGGTTGATTTTTCATTGTATTAGTGTTGTATTGTTTTTATTGTATTCTTATGTTTTATTGTTTTTATCGGGTTGTTTATTTTGCTGTTTGGTTTTATTTTGTTGTAATGTACTGCTGGGCTTGGCCTCATGTAAGCCGCTCCGAGTCCCCTTTGGGGAGATGGTGGTGGAGTATAAATAAAGATTGTTGTTGTTGTTGTTGTTGTTGTTGTTCTAAACGAATAGGGAATATGTACAATTGCCAATTGGAATAGATTATGTGATTTTTATGTTTATAGTAACTTTGATAATAACTTTATTCTTGTATCCCGCCTCCATCTCCCTGAAGGAACTTGGGCCAGCTTACACACGGCATAAGGTGCCTAAAAACAGAACATAAAATGAAACACAATTTAAAATACAGTTACAGTAGAGTCTCACTTATCCAACCTAAACAGGCCGGCAGGATGTTGGATATGTGAAAATGTTGAATTATTTATTTATTATTTATCGTGTCAGGAGCAACCAGACAGTTGTATTACAGTTTTAACAAAACAAACAAATAAACAGACAAAGCACAAAGTTTGCAAGCTTGGTAGTTGATTAAATGTCCTTTGACCAGTATCTGGCCACTTGGAGTGCCTCTGGTGTTGCCGCAAGAAGGTCCTCCATTGTGCATGTGGCAGGGCTCAGGTTGCATTGCAGCAGGTGGTCAGTGGTTTGCTCCTCTCCACACTCGCATGTCATGGATTCCACTTTGTGGCCCCATTTCTTAAGGTTGGCTCTGCATCTCGTGGTGCCAGAGCAGTCTGTTCAGCACCTTCCAAGTCGCCCAGTTTTCTGTGTGCCCAGGGGAGTCTCTCATTTGGTATCAGCCATTGATTGAGGTTCTGGGTTTGAGCCTGCCACTTTTGGACTCTCGCTTGCTGAGGTGTTCCAGCGAGTGTCTCTGTAGATCTTAGAAAACTATTTCTTGATTTAAGTCATTGACATGCTGGCTGATACCCAAACAAGGGATGAGCTGGAGATGTCACTGCCTTGGTCCTTTCACTATTGGCTGCTACTTCCCGGCGGATGTCAGGTGGTGCAATACCGGCTAAGCAGTGTAATTTCTCCAGTGGTGTAGGGCGCAGACACCCCGTGATAATGCGGCATGTCTCATTAAGAGCCACATCCACTGTTTTAGTGTGGTAAGATGTGTTCCACACTGGGCATGCATACTCAGCAGCAGAGTAGCATAGCGCAAGGGCGGATGTCTTCACTGTGTCTGGTTGTGATCCCCAGGTTGTGCCAGTCAGCTTTCGTATGATATTGTTTCTAGCACCCACTTTTTGCTTGATATTCAGGCAGTGCTTCTTGTAGGTCAGAGCACCGGTCCAGAGTGACTCCCAGGTATTTGGGTGCGCTGCAATGCTCCAGTGGGATTCCTTCCCAGGTAATACTCAGAGCTCGGGATGCTTGTCTGTTCTTAAGGTGAAAGGCACATGTCTGTGTTTTAGATGGATTAGGGATCAGTTGGTTTTCCCTGTAATAGGCAGTAAGAGCACCTAGAGCTTCAGAGAGCTTCTGTTCAACCATCTCAAAGCTCCCTGCTTGAGCAGTAATGGCACGATCATCAGCATAGATGAAGCTCTCTGTCCCTTCTGGCAGTGGCTGGTCATTTGTGTAGATGTTGAACATGGATGGAGGGAGCACGCTCCCCTGAGGCAGACCGTTCTTCTGTTTCCGCCATCTGCTTCTCTGCCCCTGGAACTCAACAAAAAAAGCTCCTGTTTAGTAGCAGGTTTCCTATGAGGCGAGTAAGATGGTAGTCTTTTGTGATATTATACATTTTTCTCAGGAGGAGGCGGTGGTTGACAGTGTCATAGGCTGCTGACAGGTCTATGAAGACAGCTCTGTGATCTGCTGCCTTTCAAAGCCATCTTCTATGTGCTGAGTCAGGTTCAGAACTTGCGATGTGCAGCTTTTGCCTTTCCTGAAGCCAGCTTGCTGTGGAATCAGACAGGGGGTCTATTTTTTCCATAATTCTATCCAAAATAAGTCTCTCTTGAACTTTGTAGAGGTGGCACAACGGGGAGATTGGTCTATAGCTTTTTTGGATCATTATGATCTTTGCCTGGCTTCAAGATGGCGATGACTCTTGCTTTCCTCCAGATTTTGGGGATCTGACAGGATGTTGAATAATAAGGAGGGATTAAGGAAAAGCCTATTCAGTGTCAAATTGTGTTATGATTTTACAAATTAAGCACCAAAACATCATGTTTTACAAGAAATTGACAGAAAAAGCAATTCAATACATGGTAACGTTATGTAGTAATTCCTGTATTTACAAGTTTAGCACTAAAACATTGCAATGTATTGAAACAGCTGTTGATCCGGGCGGGAGGCAGACTCTGTATTTGAGTCCTCTTTGGGGCAGAGAAAGGCGGAATACAGATAGAGTAAATAAGTAAATAAAACATATAGGCATACAAAACAACAACTGAAACTCAACTAAATCAGCACTCATCAAACAATGACGGTAAACAACTGTAAACGTAGCCAGGCTGTAAAGTAATATGTACGAATATGTTTTAATTCTGTGTCTTAATATCTCAGTGTTGCCTGTGTTTCATGGTTTATTATGGTTTTACTAGTTTTAATATATACTTATATGTTATTGTTTGATTATTTTTTTTTGGTTCTGGTTTTTCACATGTATCTTCGGCATTGAATTTTGCCATGCTTATGTTGGAAACCACATTGAGTCCCCCCAGGGGTGAGAAAAACGATATATAAATACAGTAAATTAAATAAATACAAAATTAAAGGTCCTCCCCCCCCCCCCCCCCCCCGCATTTAAGGATGGAATGAAGAGCAACAGAGAAAGGGAGAGAGAGATTAAAGGGAGGAAAGGAAGAAGGGAGGGATGGATGGATGGAAGGAAGGAAGGGAGGAAGGATCGAAGGAGGAAAGGAAGGAGGAAAGGGTTAATGAATAGAAGGAGGAAAGGAAGTCGGGCGGGAAGGATGGATAGAAGGAAGAAAGCAAGGGAAGAAAAGAAAAAGGAAGGAGAAGGAAAGAAAAGGAGGGAGAGAAGGAAGGAAGAATGGGGTGAAGAAGAAAGGAGGAGGGAGGAAAGGAAGAAGGAAGGAAAGGAAAGAAGAGGAAGGAAAGGAAGAAAGATAAAGGAAGAGGGAGGAAGAGTGGAAAGGAGGGAGGGAAAAAGAGTAGAATTAATTGCTAGAAGGAAGAAATGAGGGAGGGAAGAAAGGATGGAGAAGATAGAAGGAGGGAAGGAAGGGAAGGGAAGAAAAGGAAGGGAGGAAGATAGTGAGGAGGAAGGGAGGGGGAGTGGGAATGAAGGAGGGAAGGATGTATTAATAGAAGGAGGGAGGGTGGGAAGGAAAGGAAAGGAAAGAGGGAAGGAAGCAGGGAAGCAAGATAGGTTATGTATTTTGGATTCTGGTGCCCTAGACTGCGCTGACCTCTTTCACGACTTTTCCTAGTTCCAATTCCGGCTTGTTGGTTGCGCGTTCAAGCCTCTTTTTGTGTCTCTTTTGCCCTCAGTCTCAGCCGGAGATTGAATATCCCGTCCCAGAGGTCCAGGCGCCCAAGCTGGAGGCTTCAGAGGAGGCGTGGACCCCGTCAGCCGCAAACACCCTCAAGCCCCACACAGGTAAAGGCTGGGTTTGGGATTGGTGCTAGAATTGAAAGGTTTGGAAGGGTCCACAGAGACCATCTAGTCTGGATAAATGAAAGTCCCTATGATAGATGGATGGGCAGAGAGAGAGAGATGGATAGATAGATGCAAGGGCGCTTTGACTCCCTATGGTGGATGGATATATGGATAGAGAGAGAGAGAAAGGGATAGATAGATAGATAGATAGATAGATAGATAGATAGATAGATAGATAGATAGATGATAACAAGGACCATCCAGTTTGACTCTATGCTAGATGGATGGATGGATAGATAGAGAGAGAGATGGAGAGATAGATAGAATCATAGAGTTGGAAGAGACTTGGTGGGCCATCCAGTCCAACCCCCTGCCAAGAAGCAGGAAAATTGCATTCAAAGCACCCCAGACAGATGGCCATCCAGCTCCTGTTTAAAAGCCTCCAAAGAAGGAGCCTCCACCACACTCCAAGGCAGAGAGTTCCATTGCTGAACGGCTCTCGCAGTTAGGATGTTCTTTATAATGTTCTGGTGGAATCTCCTTTCCTGTAATTTGAACCCATTATTCTGCATCCTCGTCTCCAGGGCAGCAGAGTACAAGCTCCTCATGGGTGAGTGGGTAGGTAGGTAGGTAGGTAGGTAGGTAGGTAGATAGATAGATGGATGGATGGATGGATGGATGGATTGATAGAAGGATAGATAGAAGGATAGATAGAAGGATAAATAGATAGATATCAGGATGGATGGATGAATAGATAGATACCTGGATGGATGGATGGATGGATGGATGGATGGATGGATGGATGGATGGATAGATAGATAGATAGATAGATAGATAGATAGATAGATAGATAGATAGATAGATAGATAGAATGGATGGATGGATGGATGGATGGATGGATGGATAGATAGATAGATAGATAGATAGATGGATGGATGGATGGATGGATGGATGGATGGATGGATGGATGGATGGGTGGATAGATAGATAGATAGATAGATAGATAGATAGATAGATAGATAGATAGATAGATAGATAAGATAGAGATAGATGGATAGATAGATCAGGAGGGATAGATAAAAGAATAGATGGATGGATGGATAGATATATAGATAGATAGATAGATAGATAGATAGATAGATAGATAGAATCATAGTCATAGAGCTGGGAGAGATCCTGAAGATGGATGGATAGATAGATAGAATCATAGAGCTGGGAGAGATCCCAAAGATGGATGGATGGATGGATGGGCAGGCGGGCGGGCGGATGGGCAGGCAGGCAGACAGATGGATAGATAGTCGTAGAATCATGGAGTCATAGAGCTGGGAGAGATCCCGAAGATGGATGGGTAGATGCAATGGCCATCCAGGTCGACTCCCTATGATGGATGGATGGATGGATGGATGGATGGATGGAGAGAGAGATGAAGATTTAGGTAGGTCAGTCGATCGATCGATAGATAGATAGATGGATGCCAGGATAGAGAGAAAGAGATTGAGGGATGGGTGGGTGGATAGATAGATAGATAGATAGATAGATAGATAGATAGATAGATAGATAGATAGATAGATAGAATTATAGTGCTGAGAGAGATCCCAAGGATGGATGAATCGATGGATGAATAAACACAGAGTGCCTTCCCTGCTTTTGCTTCCTCCAGGTCTTCGGGAGAAGCTGGAAAGGCCTCCGGTGGAAGAGGCCAAGATCCAAGGCAAAGGCCAGCCCCCTGTGGACAGCCCGGCGCCGCCGGAACACGACTTCCTGGGATGCATGTCCAAGTAAGAGGCGGCGGCGGCGGCAGAGGAGGAGCGGATTTGGGCCGGTCCTCCTTCTGGGAAAGAACAAGGGGAACTGAGGACAAAGGCGGAGGCAGGGAAACAGGCGGCTGGACAATCCGGGACGCAGCTGCAAGGGATCAGCCAATGCCGCGCTCCTGCTGTTTCCATTTGGAAAGCTGTAGTCAGAATAACAACATGGCACATGGACAACACACATTGGCTGGCCCATAGATAACCATATCTAAGAAATTAGAGCTGATGTGGTCTGGATACAGCGCCCAAAGAAATCCAGGAACAGGCCTATAAAACAAGACACCAGGATCATCTTTATCATTACTTATTGGGACCCAAGTCAGCTTACATATCAAATGGGCTGTGTCATAACACAATATCTCCCATGTCCACTAGAGGGTGCTCTGGGGCCCAAAAATCCTTTTGCGGCTGGTTCTATGGTAGTAAGATGGGAAAGTCCTTCTGAAGTTTGGACTATAACCCAGAGCCAGTCCAGCCTCCAGTGGTGCACCTTTGGAAGCAATGGGCCCTTTTCCTCACTGCAGACAATCTCCTTCGCCTTTTGCTTTCCATTTATCTACCACGGTCTCTCTTTAGCCCCATCATTGTCTTTGGCATTTGCAGGCGTTCGGGGCTGCCGCGCTGGATCCTGGCCGCTTGCCTTTTCCTCTCAGTCGTGGTCATGCTCTGGCTGAGCTGCGCCAGCCTGGTGACAGCCCCGGATCAGCACATCAAGACCCAGGTATGGGAAACTCTCATAGGAAGGGACCCCCCCCCAGGACTATCCAGCCAAACCCCCTTCTGCCACCGTCCAAACCCTCCCAACAGATGGCCATCCAGCCTCAAAGATGTATTACAAGATCCAAGAAAAAAATAGGGCTATAGCATCATTGAATCCTTGAGTTGGAAGGCAGCCCCAAAGGGCCATCCCATCCAACCTCTTTCTCCCAGGCAGGAAGACATAATTCAATCCCTCCAGACAGATGGCCATTCAGACTGCTTTCAAAAACATCGCACCATGGAATCCTAGGGTTGGAAGAGACCCCAAGGGCCATTCAGTCCAACCCCCCTTAAGATAAATAGATAAAGAGACATAATCCAAGAGTTGGAAGACACCCCAAAGGCCATCCCCTTTAAGGAAGAGACAATATGATCCCTCCCAACAGATGCCCATCCAGCCTCTGCTTCGAAATCTCCAGAGAAGGACACTGAAGCAACATATTCCGTGGCCAAAAAAACTATTGCTATCATCTGTACCAGCTACAGGATATGGAAAGTGATATAAATATATAAAGTACCATTCTAGGCTAAATGGCCATCTGTCAGGAGGGATTGAATGGTGCCTTCCTTGATAACAGAATGGGACTGGATGGCCCTTGGGGTTCTCTTCCAACTCTAGGAGTCTTTAATTGCATAGCCCTGTTTCTCCTTGAAGCGGATAATGTCTTTGAAGTTGGATGTCCATTTGTCGGAGGGGATCGAATGGTGCCTTCCTTGATAACAGAATGGAGTTGGACCTTTGGACCAATACTGGGATTTTTGTCCCAACTTTATCTTCATAATATCTTCGATTTACATTGCCACCACATGATGATGATGATAAATATATAAAGTACCATTCTAGGCTAAATGATCATCTGTCAGGAGGGATTGAATGGTGCCATAATTTTTGTATGTATTTTATCTTTTATAATTTAGCTGTAAATCGCCTAGAGCATTCTCGGATGGAGGGCAATTAATAAGTTATTAAATGATTATGATGATGATGATGATGATGATGATGTGTATATTTTCCCACTTCTTGACATACCTCAATGTGCTTCTTCTTTTCTTCCAGCCCTTGAGCATCAACGGAGACAAGGAGTTCCTGGATGATCTGGGCGGCCCCGTGCCATTCTCTCTGCGCCCGGTCATTGCGGTGGCTATTTGCCCAGCCGGAGGCGACCGCGACGGTGAAGAGGAGGCCGGCCCGCTTCCAGTCAAAGTGGATTTGGACAAGACAGCTGTCTAAGAAGGGCCTCAATTGTTTCCCCCATCCCACAAAGAAAGAACCCTTCTCCCAAAAACCCCTCGGTTTCATCCTCCTGTTGCCCCATTCACGCTTTTTTGTCATGCCAGTTGTGTCCAGTTGTTCTCGCCAGCAACAATCTGATCCCTCCTGACAGATGACCTCCGAGGTGACGCGTTCCATGCTTAGGGAGGAGAAGGGGCAATGGCTTCCAAACTGGAGCGGACACTTGACCCCTCGAGTCTGCTTTGGGGGACTCTCCTTTTTTGCAGCGATTGTTGGCATTGTGGACAGCCCACTCCCACCCCTTATAAAGAACCTGAATCATTCACACACAGAGGACCTCGTGGATTCCAAAACATAGTAATAATAATAATATTTATTTCTAACCTCCCTCTCCCCATGGCATGAGACTTTTATTTTGGCCCTTTTAATGCAGCCTTCTCTGAGGTCCGCTTAGATTAGAAACACGGCTGGTTTTGGGTTTCCCATTCGCAATGCAGAAGGGAGCTTGGCCCTATCCTACCCCATCAAATCCCCCGTATCTGTTGTTTCCTCTCTAGCAATAAAAGAGTTGTTATTCATTGAGGATCAGGCACTCGTTTCCCCCATAGGTCCCCCCTGAGCTAGAGCATCCCTTCTTCATGTTCCGCCTTCCCAACGGGTTCAGAAGCACCCCTGTTCCCCTCTCTCTCCTTTCCCAATCTCTTCCGTCATCCTCCAGTTCCTTTCATTGTTGCAAATTGAGGAGAGGGGCCTTTTGCCTTCCCAGTTGCCTCTCTTCCTCCTCAGCCGTAACTTCGCCTGTCTTGACCGTGGCATTTAGTGCCACATCTCTTCATTTCTCATCTTTTAACAGGTTGTTGTTATCTCATCTCCCAGTTGGAGGATACAAAAACAAAGGGTCAAATTAGTACTTAATAATAATAATAATATACGTTATTTATATTCCGCCCTATCTCTCCGAGGGGACTCAGGGCTGATTATAGTGCGCATCTATAGCAAACATTCAGTGCTGTTAGTATACAATTAACAAAGACAGACAGTACACAAACAGAGGTAAAGGCTTCCCATCTTTTTCCATCTCCGGCATCTGGAGGCTGTGCTTGACTCCGGTCACTGGGAGGTGCTGTCGCTCCATCTTCCATGCCGAGGAGCTTTGTTGTCCTTAGACGCTCTCCCAATCAAATCGCCGGCATGTCTGCATGGGCGCCTTTTATTCCCTCCCCACCAAGGCTATACCTATTTATCTACTCACATTGCTGTTTTCTAACTGCTAGGTGAGCTGAAGCTGGGCTGACCGTTGGGAGCTCACCCCAACCTGGGCCTTGTACTGTCAACCTTTCGATTGGCAAGGTTTTCTGCAGCTGGCTGTTTAACCCGCGGTGCTAATGCCCAGCCCTTCTTGGATTCCTCGAATGAGGTTGGAAAGCACGTTCCATCTTTCTGCCTCCTTTGCCTCTTGATAGTATGGTGAACGGAAAGCATAAAGAAAAGGCACCTGTTGTAAAAAGAAACACTTTTGTGTTCTCATTTGTGAGATCTTTCCATATCCTCCATTGCTTTTACAAAATTCCCGCGCTTCCACCCGCCTTTGTCCTCGGCTGACCTGGGCGCCTACAAACCTAGCTCAAAGAGCAAAGGTAATCCGTAAAGAGAGGAGGAGGAGGAAGCCAGAGGTTTCCCATCACCCATTTTCTGGTTGGCTCACCGCTTACCTATTCTTTCCTGAAATCCCTTTTTTCCCTGCTGTGAAATGTTAGAGGGTTCATCTCCTTTACATTTTCAGCGCTGTTGAATTTTCCCCCGTTATCAATGTTTTGCACTGAATGCGGTGTGTCCCGCCATGTGTCTGCGATGCTGTTGAAGAACCTCTCGCTTGCGCCGGGCAGGGGATTTCAAAACAGCCCCTTTCCTGGCTCCGAACCGCTTGTAAATTCCGCCGAAACGAGTCGTGACATTGTACAGAGATTTAACTTATTTCCTTCCCTCTTTTCCCAGCTTTTTTCTTCCTCCTCTTTCGGAAGTTCCCTCGCAGAAGACAGATGACCGAAAGTGTACCGCTCTTGGCTTTACAATTGTTTGTAACCGTTTTAATGCTTCCTAACCAGGCATGGGCAAACTTCGGCCCTCCTGGTGTTTTGGTCTTCAATTCCCACAATTCCTAGCAGCCGGCTAAATATATATATTTATATATAGGAGGGGTGAGTTCCCCCCATTTGCTGCAACCATTCTTCCCCCCTTGAGGACATGCAATGGGATCGCATTGGGCTCGTTCGCCGCCGCATCACACTCTTGGCTCGGGTTCAGTTCATGGTCCACTAAGATGCCTAGATCAATATTCTTATTGATATAGACTAGAACAGGCATGGGCAAACTACGGCCCTCCGGGTGTTTTGGACTTCAACTCCCACAATTCCTAACAGCTGGTAGGCTATTAGGAATTGTGGGAGTTAAAGCCCAAAACATCTGGAGGGCCAAAGTTTACCCATGCCTGTTTCTAACATATCTGAAGGTAAAAGGGTATATATATTTGAAACTGGATTTGCTAGTTTGTCTCTTTTTTTGTCTTCATGGGCGGGCACTCTGTTCCTTTCTAGTTTTCCTTCCGATTCCGTTTTTCCCCCTTTTTCAGAAGAAATAAAACCTCCGTCGAATGGCGATGGAGCAAGCTGAGAAGCCACATCAATCGAATGAACGAACTAATTATCTGTCTTAACTGTATCTGTATCACTAATAAAAGAACTTTTTTGTCTGTCCTGACGGTGTGGACAAATTGTTTTATCGAGTTTCTGAGTTTTAATAAAACAATATTAAGGCGGTGAGAAAGGAACGAATGGAAACTTCTTGGTTTCTCTTCGGAGGATTTTATTTTATCGTGTCAGAAGCGAATTGAGGGTACAGTTATGTATAGAAAAACCACAAAGTACAAAACTGCATTATGCTAAATTTCCTTTAACTAGAAGTTGGCCACGTCGAGTGGTGTCACTGTAAGAAGATCCTCTGTTGTGCATGTGGCAGGGCTTAGACTGTATTGTAGTAAGTGGTCATATAATGGCCTGACAAGAAGTCAGCCATAGCAGTGCACCCGATGAACCAACCTGGACACAGCCTATTATTTGAGAACACAGAAATGATGGACCACTCTAACAACCACCATGTCAGACTACACAGAGAAGCAATTGAAATCCACAACCATGTGGACAATTCAACAGAAAGGAGGAAACTATAAAAATGAACAAAATCTGGCTACCAGTATTAAAAAAACTCTAAAATTACAACAGCAAAACAACAGAGAGGAAACAATCATGGACAGCTAATCACCTCTCAACAAAAGATTGCTCCAGGCACTGCAGGCCATTATATGCTAATCAAGGTGGTCAGTTGAAACATTCACACCTAGCTCCAGCAGACGAGTCCTTTGTCCCACCCTGGTCATTCCACAGATATATAACCCTTTTTCCTAGTTCCAACAGACCTCACTACCTCTGAGGATGCTTGCCATAGATGCAGGCGAAACGTCAGGAGAGAATGCCTCTAGAACATGGCCATATAGCCCGAAAAACCTACAACAACCCAGTGATTCCAGCCATGAAAGCCTTCGACAACACATTTATTCTGCACAAAGTTGGAATACAACCTTAATGGCGTTTCCTGGGTAGAAAACGCTGTTTTCTTTGCAAACAAACGAAATAGGCCACACCTGGAATATTGTGTCCAATTCTGGGCACCACAATTCAAGAGAGATATTGACAAGCTGGAATGTGTCCAGAGGAGGGCGACTAAAACGATCAAGGGTCTGGAGAACAAGCCCTATGAGGAGCGGCTTAAGGAGCTGGGCATGTTTAGCCTGAAGAAGAGAAGGCTGAGAGGAGATATGATAGCCATGTATAAATATGTGGGAGGAAGCCACAGAGAGGAGGGAGCAAGCTTGTTTTCTGCTTCCCTGGAGACTAGGACGCAAGGGAACAATGGCTTCAAACTACGGAGATTCCATCTGAACATTAAGAAGAACTTTCTGACTGTGAGAGCTGTTCAGCAGTGGAACTCTCTGCCCCAGAGTGTGGTGGGGGCTCCCTCTTTGGAGGTTTTTAAACAGAGGCTGGATGGCCATCTGTCGGGGATGCTTTGAATGCAATTCCTACTTCTTGGCAGGGGGTTGGACTGGATGGCCCATGAGGTCTCTTCCAACTCATTGATTCTATGATCACGTCTCGTCAATAGAATCAGCATCCGATCTAGTCCATTAATCCATATTCCAGGAATCAATCAATTGCACTGCTTAGTTAAAAGCCTGTTTGAAGAGCCAGGTCTTCACTCTCTTCCGGAATGCCAATAAGGAGGGGGCCGATCTAATGTCTGTAGGAAGGGCGCTCCACAGCCGGGGGCCACTACTGAGAAGGCCCTGTCTCTCGTCCCCCCCAGGCGTGCTTGTGAGGCTGGTGGGACCGAGAGCAGGGCCTCCCCAGACGATCTTAACGTCCTAACTGGTTCATAGGAGGAGATGCGTTCGGACAGATAGGTCGGGCCGGAACCGTTTAGGGCTTTAAAGGCTAAAGCCAGCACTTTGAATTGTGCCCGGTAGCAAATTGGCAGCCAGTGGAGCTGGCGCAACAGAGGAGTTGTATGCTCCCTGAGTGCCGCTCCTGTTAGCATCCTGGCTGCCGAGCGTTGGACCATTTGAAGCTTCCGAGCAGTCTTCAAAGGCAACCCCACGTAGAGAGCGTTGCAGTAGTCTATACGGGATGTAACCAGAGCGTGGACTACCGTGGCCAAGTCAGATTTCCGTATAAATATGTGAGAGGAAGTCATAGGGAGGAAGAGGGAGCAAGCCTGTTTTCTTCTGCCCTGGAGACTAGGATGCAGAACAATGGCTTCAAACTACAAGTGAGGAGATTCCATGTGAACATGAGGAAGAACTTCCTGACTGTGAGAGCCGTTCAGCAGTGGAACTCTCTGCCCCGGAGTGTGGTGGAGGCTCCTTCTTTGGAAGCTTTTAAACAGAGGCTGGATGGCCATCTGTCAGGGTGCTTTGAATGCAATATTCCTGCTTCTTGGCAGGGGGTTGGACTGGATGGCCCAGGAGGTCTCTTCCACCTCTTTGATTCTATGATTCTAGGGCGTGGCTTGTGTCATGGTAATGAGGGGGCGGGAATAAGTCCCTGAAGGGGAGGAGGAATAAGAAAAGGGGCGGGGCTTAGGATAAGATAGCCGATGGGCATGATTGAGGTTTGGGATTACGTCATCCTCATGGTAATGAGGGGGCGGGAACAAATCCTTGAATGGGAGGGGGGATAAGGAAAAGGGGCGAAATAGACTTATGGATTGAGACTCGACGGGTCCCGGGGGGCTTGGGATTACGTCACCCTCATGATAATGAGGGGGCGGGGATATGTCCCTGAAGGGAAGGAGGGAGAAGAAAGTGGGCGGGGCTTAGGGAGAAAAATAGAGAACCGAATGGACATGGATTGCAACTTGAGGGGGCGTGGTTTGGGATAGGCGGCTCCCTGATTGTAATGAGGGGCGGGACTAAGGCATTGAAGCGGGAGGGGCAAGAAGAAAATGGGAGGGGCTTAGGGGAATACAAGATGGCAGAGTCCGGCGGGGCCTGCGCTTTTGCCTCCGGCTCCAGCGCCTCCCCCTCAGCTTCGGAGGGGTCCCCCTCGCCCGGAAGGAGCAGCCCCCGCCGCCGGGGAAGGTGAGGCAACAAGTCCCCCGTGTATCCTTGGCAACAGGGCCCTCCTCCCTGTATCCTAGGCAACAGTCCCCCCCCGCAAGGCCAATGAGGGAAGCGGAAGGGTCAAGGGGACAGACTGACAGACAGACAGACAGACAGCCTTTCTCTATCCTTTGCCATCCTTGGAGCATTTCACAGAGATAGACATATGTATGTGTGTGGAAGTTGGAGAAAGCCAGGGTCGTATCATATAGTAGTATATTAATTATATTATATTTATTATAGTAGCGTATTAATTATATTATATTTATTATTATAGTAGTATATTAATTATATTATATTTATTATTATATGGAGAAGGAAGTAGAAAGGCAGGATCATCTGATATATTAGTATATTATGTTATAATTATAATACAATATACAAATATATCTGATGACCCTGCCATTCTACTCTTTCCCCATATAATAATAATAATTATTATTAGGGTCATTTCATATATTAGTATATATTATAATTATTTTTTTAAAAAATTTGAAACATTTCAGGGGGCTTTGAACCCCTAACCCCTCCCCCTCGCTACAGGCCTGCAGATGACCCTGGTTATTTATTTCTTCCCCATATAATATATGAATATATCTGATGACCCTGCCATTCTACTCTTTCCCCATATAATAATAATAATTATTATTAGGGTCATTTCATATATTAGTATATATTATAATTATTATATGGGGAAGGAGTAGATTGCCAGGCTCATCCGATATATTCATATATTATATGGGGAAGAAATAAATAACCAGGGTCATCTGCAGGCCTGTAGCGAGGGGGAGGGGTTAGGGGTTCAAAGCCCCCTGAAATGTTTCAAATTTTTTAAAAAACCTGGTTTACTCATGAATTTTAACTGGTTAACCAAATCCCCATGCTAAGTCTATGAGATGCAAAAAATTAAGAGTGCCTCCAGAACTGCAAGCACTATCTCAGGCAAATATTGACAATTTATTCACACTGTTTGGGACCCACCTACCTGCGTGACCACATCTCTGTGTACAAACCCACATGATCTCTTCGTTCATCTGGAGAGGCCCTACTCACAATCCCACCTGCATCGCAAGCGCGATTGGCGGGGACGAGTGATAGGGCTTTTTCGGTGGTGGCCCCTCGACTCTGGAACTCTCTCCCTAAGGACATCAGGCAAGCCCCATCTGACAATTTTTAGGAGGAGCTTGAAAACGTGGTTGTTCCAGTGTGACTTCCCAGAATAAGGAAACCCCAAGCATTATGTCCCCAAACGCACTTTATCAGAGAGCCAGGATATCTGCATGCCCATCCCCCTCCAAACACCTACCCTTTTCACCTGGTCATGCCCAGCACTTTTTAATTTTAATTATTACATTTGGCCCTGCCACAGATTTTAATTGCTTCATGGTATGTTGTTAATGTTATTGCCTTGTTTTTGAGTTATTTTGCTGTGTTGTTGTTTTTACTGTTGTATTTGGGCTCGGCCTCTTGTAAGCTGCACTGAGTCCTCCGGGAGATGGTAGCGGGGTACAAATAAAGGTTATTATTATTATTATTATCGTCATTGTGGGGTGTGTGTGTTGAATGTTCTCATTAAGGAGGCCAGACTTGATGGAGGTGGTTGACAGGGGCGTAGCTGCAGGCTATTGAAGGCTGTTTTGCCCCCTGCTGTGCTCTTTGCTTCAGCGTGAGCTAGGAGGCAGGTTTCAACCCCCCCCCGAAAATTTCAACCCCTCCCGAATTTTTTTTCTGGCTATGATCCTGGTCATCTGATATATTAGTATACAGTGTTCCCTCGCTGCTTCGTGGTTCGCTAACCGCGGACTCTCTGTTTCCTGGCTTTTCAAAATAATTAATTTAAAATACAAGTAGCATAGAAGCAGAGGAAGAGAGAGAGAGAGAGAGAGAGAGAGAGGAGGGTGAGAGAGAAGTGGGCGGAGCTATACTGTACATATACAGTATAGCATCTCTACATTGCGGTTTTTCACTTATCTCGGGGATTCCTGGAATGGAACCCCCGTGATAGGTGAGGGAACACTGTAATGTTATAATTATTATAATACAATATACGAATATATCGGATGACCATGCCTTCCTACTTCTTTCTCATATAATAAAAATAACAATAATAACAACTATTATGGGAAAAGAGTAGATAGCCAGGGTCATTTCATATATTAGTATATATTATAATTATTATATGGGGAAGGAGTAGATTGCCAGGCTCATATGATATATTCATATATTATATGGGGAAGAAATAAATAACCAAGGTCATTTGATATATTAGTATACAGTGTTCCCTCACTGCTTCGTGGTTCGCTAACCACGGACTCGCTGTTTCCTGGCTTTTCAAAATAATTAATTTAAAATACAAGTAGCATAGAAGTAGAGGAAGAGAGAGAGAGAGAGAGAGAGAGGAGGGTGAGAGAGAAGTGGGCGGAGCTATACTGTACATATACAGTATAGCGTCCCTACATTGCGGTTTTTCACTTATCTCGGGGATTCCTGGAATGGAACCCCCGTGATAGGTGAGGGAACACTGTAATGTTATAATTATTATAATACAGTATACAAATATATCAGATGACCATGCCTTCCTACTTCTTTCTCATATAAAAACAATAACAATAATAACAACTATTATGGGGAAAGAGTAGATAGCCAGGGTCATTTCATATATTAGTATATTTTATAATTATTATATGGGGAAGGAGTAGATAGCCAGGCTCATCTGATATATTAATATATTATATGGGGAAGGAGTAGGTAACCAGGGTCATCTGATATATTCATATATTATATATCACAATAATATGTGTGTGTGTGTGTATATATCTGCAGTAGAAAGCCATGGTCATCTGATATATTCGTATACAAATACAAATGATCTACTCCTTTTATCTCACCCTGAGTTTTTAAACCATTTTATTGTACATGCGGCCCGCTCACTGTCATTGTGTTGTTTATTGCTTTCTTATACTGTGTGTATATTGCTTATTGTATTTATATGCTTTGTACTGTATTGCGATGTTGTCTATTTTATTTTATTGTAATTTGTATTGTATTTTATTGTAATTTGTTGTTTGGGGTTAGCCTCATGTGAGCCGCCCCGAGTCCCCATTGGGGAAGATGGTGGCGGGGTACAAATAAAGTTTATTATTATTATTATATATCACAATAATATATGTACGTGTGTGGGAAGAGATAGAAAGCCAGGATTGTCTGATATAGTAGTATATTATTATTATTTTGCTGCTATTATTATTACATGGGGAAGGAGTAGAAAGCCAGGCATACCTGATATATTAATATATTATATTATATATCACAATAATATATGTGTGTATATAGGAAAGAGGTAGAAAGCCAGGCCCATTTGATATATTACTAAATTATATTCTGTATCACAATAATGTGTGTGTGTGTGTGTGTGTGTGTGTGTAGGGAAGGAGTAGAAAGCCAGGCTCATCTGATATATTCACATACTATATTATATGTATTATGATCTATAAGGAATAGATAGCCAAGTCATCTGAGATATATTATTATTATATGAGGTAGGAGTAGATAACCAGAGTCAGCTGATATATTAGTATAATTATATTATATTTATTTTACATATGTACATCCGTTTTTGCCCGAGTCTAATGCACACCTCAATTTTCAAAACCCTGAAACCCCCAAAGAATGTTTACCATATTACGTGAATCTAATGCGTACCCTTATTTTGGGAAGGTATTTTAGTCAAAAAAGGTGAACATTAGAATTGAGTAAGTACGGTATGTATATATATGTATATGGGGAAAGAGCAGATAACCAGGGTTATCTGATATGTATATACATAAGTATATGGGGAAGGAGTAGACAGCCAGGGTTATCTGATCAGGATGGTGTCATAATGGCTATTTCCAGCCCAAGGCAAAAGGTGAGCCCTATTGCCCTCAGTTGGCTTTGGCCAATGGCACCGAATGCCATCATTGAGTTGATCAGGTAAGTGTCATCCCAGGAAACCTTATATATACCCTTTTTAACTGCTGCAAGTGTCCTTCTTGCTGAAAGAGCATTGAAAGCGCCTGCCTCCCTTTTGCAGCATGGCGGACAAGAGCGGCGCCTTGAAGTGCACATTCTCCGCCCCGGGGCACAGCGCTACCCTTCTGCAAGGCCTGGCCGCCCTCCGGGATCAGGCTCAGCTCCTGGATGTCATCCTCACCGTCAACAGTGAGGCCTTCCAGGTCCACAAAGTCGTCTTGGCCGCCTGCAGCGACTACTTCCGGTGAGAGCTTCCGCATGACCCATAGTTGGAGGATTCCCACCAAAGGCCACCCAGTCCTCCAGACAGATGGCCATACAGCCACAGATGTGATAGATATGGTTGAGAGAGAGAGATTATAGGCATATCATAAGATTCAAGAGTTGGAGGAGACCCCCAAAAGCCATCCAGTCCGATCCTCTTCTGCCAGACAGGAAGGCACCATACAAGCCCTCCCAACAGAATACCATACAGCCACAGATGTGATAGATATGGTTGAGAGAGAGAGAGATATGTGTGAACGTCTGTGTATAATATAGTATAGTATAATATAAACAAACGTGTGTGTGACAGGTATATCATATGCTAGAATTGGAAGAGAACCCCAAAAGCCATACAGGCAAAGATGTGATAGATATGATTTATATATGTGTGAGTGTATATAAACAAACAACAACAATAATAAAAATGTGTGTGTTTGATAGGTATATCATATCATAGAATCCTAGAGTTGGAAGGGACCTCCAAAGGCCATCCAGTCCAACCCCTTTCTGCTGGGCTGGAAGGCACCATTCAAGCCCTCCCGACAGGTGGCCATACAGCCAAAGATGTGATAGATATGATTGAGAGACAGGGAGAGATGATAGGTGTGTCATGGGATCCCTGAGTTGGAGGAGACCAATCTTTTCTGCCATGCACCATCCAAGCCTTCTCAATAGATGGCCATTCAGCCACAGATATGATAGATATGATTGAGATAGGTAGAAAAACACAATTAAAACATACTTCAGACACAAGAAGTATGGAGCAGTAGGAAACAAGCTTCCCCCGTCCTCAATGGGATCTCCTTTCAAATATGAAAAATGGTCTCTTATTAACTTTATTTTCTCCAAGCTAAACATCCCCAGCTCCTCACAGTCTGAAGATATTTCTTGTCTGAAGCATGAATGTTTTGATTGTGTTTTTCCTACTTGGCAGAATGGGATGGCCATCTGTCAAAAGGGCTTGGGTGGTGTCTATCTGCCTGGCAGATTGGGGTTGGACTAGATGGCCCTTGCGGGTCTCCCCCAACTCCAAGATTCCATGATATACCTATCAAAGACACACATGGTTTCCAAATCTTTGACCATTTAGGTGGCCCTTCTCTGGGCACTTTCCATCTTGCCTATCTCCTTGAATGGTGATGTCCAGGATCATTCTAGGCGAGGTCTGACCAAAGTGGAAGAGAGTGGGACTATTTCGTTGGCTGATCCTGCCTAACATCCAAGATTAAACAATGCTTTTGCCATAGTTCAGCCCCGGAAGGATGTCTTCAAACTCTTTCCTGCCATGCCTCCTCTCCTTGCAGGGCCATGTTTACTGGCGGGATGCGAGAAGCCAGCCAGGATGTGATTGAGCTGAAGGGTGTTTCGGCCAAGGGTCTGAGGCACATCATCGACTTTGCCTACAGTGCTGAGGTGACCCTCGACCTGGACTGCATCCAGGACGTCCTGGGGGCAGCTGTCTTCCTGCAGATGGCGCCGGTGGTGGAACTGTGCGAGGAGTTCCTCAAGTCAGCCATGAGCGTGGAGACCTGCCTCAACATTGGCCAGATGGCCACTGCCTTCAGTTTGGCCTCCCTGAAGGAGTCGGTGGACGCCTTCACCTTCCGGCACTTCCTCCAGATCGCCAAGGAGGAGGACTTCCTCCAGCTTCCTTTGGAGCGCCTGGTCTTCTTCCTCCGGAGCAACAAGCTCAAGAGTTGCGCTGAGATTGACCTCTTCCGGGCAGCTGTCCGCTGGCTGCAGCATGATCCTGCGCGCCGCACTAGCGCCAGCCAGGTGCTCTGTCACATCCGCTTCCCACTCATGAAGCCCCTGGAGCTGGTCTACAGTGTCCAGACTTTGGACATCATGGTGGAGGACGTCCTGTGCCGGCAGTACCTCCTGGAGGCCTTCAACTACCAGATTTTGCCCTTCCGGCAGCATGAAATGCAGTCGCCGCGTACTGCCATCCGCTCGGACGTGCTCTCTCTGGTCGCCTTTGGTGGCACACCTTACACTGACAATGATCGCAACGTCAGTGCCAAAGCCTACTATTTGCCGGACGGTGGTTCCCGCCAGTTCAAGGAGCTGACTGAGATGGAAGCCGGAAGCAGCCACGCCTGTGTAGCCGTGCTGGACAACTTTGTTTACATGGCGGGGGGGCAGCGGCTGCAGTACCGCAGTGGCGAGGGAGCCGAGGACCTCTGCTACCGCTACGACCCCCACTTGAACCAGTGGCTGCGCATCCAGGCCATGCAGGAGAGCCGGATCCAGTTCCAGCTCCACGTCCTGCGCGGCGCACTCTATGCCACGGGGGGACGCAACCGCTCGGGCAGCCTGGCCTCGGTGGAGACTTATTGCCCCCGGACCAACGAGTGGAGCTATGTTTGCTCCCTCAAGCGCCGGACGTGGGGCCATGCGGGGGCCGTGCTGGGGGGCAAGCTGTATGTCTCTGGGGGCTACGGCATCTCAGTGGAGGACAAGAAGGCCTTGCACTGCTACGACCCAGAGGCCGACCAGTGGGAGTTCAAGGCCCCCATGAATGAGCCCCGGGTGCTGCATGCCATGGCCGCCGCCCGCGGACGCATCTACGCCCTCGGGGGCCGCATGGACCATGTCGACCGTTGCTTCGACGTCTTGGCAGCCGAGCATTACGTCCCGGAGGCTGACCAGTGGACCATGGTGAGCCCCATGAGGGCTGGGCAGTCAGAGGCCGGCTGCTGCCTCTTGGAGGACCGCATTTACGTGGTGGGGGGTTACAACTGGCATCTCAACAACGTCACCAGTATCGTGCAGGTGTACAACACCCAGACTGATGAGTGGGAGCGGGACCTGCACATCCCAGAGTCCTTTGCAGGCATTGCCTGTGCCCCAGTCGTCCTCCCACAGGATGTGGCCCGGAGGTGACCCTCACAGCCGTCCCTTGGGTCTCCGGATGCACTGCATGCCAAATAAAGCTGTATCTCGGCGGTTGGGCCCTTCCGCCTTTATTTATGAATATACGCCTTCCTCTTTTCGAACCTGCAAACATTAATATGAGTCAAACCTGGCTAGAGGATGGCGACTTCTCCCTTTACTGTTGGTTTTCCTCTTCCTTCGGCCAAGGCTTTATCCCCATTTTGTGTGAATCAAATCACTTAAAGTAAGTGTGGGCAAACTTTAGCTCTCTAGGTGTTTTGGATTTCAGCTCTCACAATTCCTAACAGCTGATAGGATGTTATGAATTATGAGAGTTGAAGTCCAAAACACCTGGAGGGCTGAAGTTTGCCCATGCCTGACTTAAAGCAATAAGAATTATAAGAGGGGTGGAGGTGGGGACTCTATAAAGGAACGAAAAATACGTGGTTTCATACCTGTTATTTTGTTTCCTCCTTGAAAAGCACACCTGGTTTGTTTTGCTGTATTTCTATGACATCGTTTACCTATTTATTTCTATCCAAAGTAGTCAGGCCTCTCTTCTTTCCTCCAGTGCCTTGGGATCTCAGTAAGAGGCTGATAGGATGGCCTTCAATGTTGTTGTTTTTTTCTCTCCAGAAAGGGAATAAATAATACATTTTATTTCTCTCTGCTTCAGCTAAGTTAAAGAAACCCTGCTGAGTTTTGCTCCTTTGCAGCAGAAATCGAGGCCGAATCTGGCCATTATTTGTCCCTAAAAGAGCAATGGCCAGGTTGTCTTTCTTTAGTGATAGAGTGGGATTTGGAATACAGCTTTAAAGTCATCGTTGAAGCTCTAAAAGGAAAGAGCAAGGGCACCGAAACATGCATGTCGTCTCCCTGTTGGGTATTGTCGAATGTAAACATTAAAGTCGATATTTCCAAGCGTGTTTGAGTGTGTCTGTTGTCTGTATGACAGATGGGATGCCAAGATCACACTATAAGCATGTTTGGCACAGAGCTGCTTTGACTTGTATGGTGGAGCTTTCTATACATAGATGATTATAATGATGATAAAATAGTAATAATGATAGTATAATCTGGTTAAGGAAAGCTCTTGTGGGGTTTTTTTGTTGTTGTGTCAGAAGTGACTTGAGAAACTTCAAGTCGCTTCTGGTGTGAGAGAATTAGCCGTCTGCAAGGACGTTGCCCAGGGGACGCCCGGATGATTTTGATGTTTTTATCATCCTTGTGGGAAGCTTCTCTCATGTCCCCGCATGAGGAGCTGGAGCTGATAGAGGGAGCTCATCCGCCTCTCCCCAGATTCGAACCTGCGACCTGTCGGCCTTCAGTCCTGCCGGCACAGGGGTTTAACCCACTGCACCACCGGGGGCTCCAGTTCTTGTGGTAATACTAATAACAATAATAATAATAATATCTATGTAAAGAAAGCTCTTATTTATTTATTGTGCCAGAAACGAATTGAGAATACAGTTATAACGTATAGGAAAACCACAAACAAAGTTACAAACTTGGCATTATACTAGATTTCCTTTGAATAGAAGCTGGCCACTTGGAGCGCCTCTGTGAGAAGGTTTTTCATTGTGCATATGGCAGGACTCAGGCTGCATTGTAGTAAGTGTGGTTTGCTCTTCTCTGCACTTGCATGTTGTGGACTCCACTTTGTAGCCTCATTTCTTAAGATTGGCTCTGCATCTCATGATGCCAGAGAGCAATCTGTTCAGCGCCAAGTCAACCAGCCTTCTGTGTACCCAGGAGGGAGTCTGTCATCCAGTCTCAGCCACTGATTGAGGTTCCGGGTTTTAGCCTGCCACTTTTGGACTCTTGCTTGCAGAGTTGTTCCTGTGAGTATATCTGTAGATCTTAGGAAGCTATTTCTTGATTTAAGGCAGTGCCATGTTGTCTGGTACCCAAACAGACGAAGGGCCGGAGATGTCAATGACTTGGTCCTTTCACTGCTGGTTGCTATTTCCCAACGGATGTCAGGTGGTGCAGTACCGGCTAAAAAGTAAGATTTCTCCAGCGGTGTTGGGCATAGACATCCTGTGATAATGTGGCATGTCTCATTAAGAGCCACATCCACTGTTTTAATGTGGTGAGATGTATTCCATGCTGGGCATGTGTACTCAGCAGCATAGTAGCAAAGCGCAAAGGCAGATGTCTTCACTGTGTCTGGTTGTGATCCCCAGGTTGTGCCAGTCAGCCTTCATATGATAATATTACTAGCACCCACTTTTTGCTTGATTGTCAAGCAGTGCTTATAAGTCAGCGCACGGTCCAGAGTGACTCCCACGTATTTGGGTGTGCTGCAATGCTCCAGTGGGATTTCTTCCCGGGTCATCCTCAGAGCTCGAGATGCTTGTCTGTTCATAAGGTGAAAAAGCACGTGCCTGCATTTTGGATGGATTAGGAATCAGCTGGTTTTTCCTATAATAGGGAGTAAGAACATCTAAAGTGTTGGAGAGCTTCTGTTCAACTATTTCAAAGCTCCATGCTTGGGTGGTGATGGCACTATCATCGGCATAGATGAAACTCTGTCCCTTCTGGCAGTGACTGGCCATTTGTGTAAAAGTCAACTATTGATGAAGCAAGCACTCTCCCCTGAGGCATGCCGTTCTTCTGTTTTCGCCATCTGCTCAACCAGAAAGCTCCTGTTTTGTAGCAGATTTCCTATGAAGCCGGTGAGGTGGTAACCCTTCGTGATAGTATACATTTTTCTCAGGAGGAGGCGATGATTTACAGTGTCATAAGCTGCTGACAGGTCTGTGAAGACAGCTCTGACAATAATGATAATCATAAACATGAAGGCTCTGATGCTATTATTTATCCACATAAAGAAAGCTCTGATATCCATGTAAAGAAAGCTCCGATAATAATAATAAACCTAAAGAAAGTTCTAATATTATTAGTATTATCCATGCAAAGGAACCTCTGATGATGATAAAAATAATCCATGTAAAGAAAGCTCTGGTAATAACTATAATAACTTAATAATATAGTAACAATTCTCCAGCAAAGGATCACCGCCTTGTCGGGGCGCTGGAGCTTGAGCACCTCAATGATGTCATGAGCGAAACCGTGAAGGGACACCCAAGACGGGACGGTTGTGGCAGAGAGGTCAGACCAAGCGTGATCCCTGGGGAAGGCAATGGCAAACCACCCCAGTATCCTTGCAAAGAAAACTAAATGGACCAGTACAACCAGAGATATGTCGGTATGCCATTGGAAGATGGGACTCCCAGGTCGGAAGATGGCCAAAATGCTACTGGGGAGGAGCAGAGGATAAGTTCAACTAGCCCCAGATGTGATGACGCAGCTAGCTCAAAGCCGAAAGGAAGGCTAGCGGCCGACGGTACTGGAGGTGAACGACGAATCCGATGCTCTAAAGATCAACACACCATAGGAACCTGGAATGTAAGATCTATGAGCCAGGGCAAATTGGATGTTGTTATTGGCGAGATGTCAAGACTAAAGATAGACATTCTGGGGGTCAGCGAACTGAAATGGACTGGAATGGGCCACTTCACATCAGATGACCACCATATCTACTACTGCGGACAAGAGGAACATCGAAGAAATGGAGTAGCCTTCATAATTAATAAGAAATTCGCTAAAGCGGTGCTTGGATACAACCCAAAAAATGACAGAATGATCTCAATTCGAGTGCAAGGAAAGCCTTTCAACATTACAGTGATCCAAATATACGCCCCAACCACAGCTGCTGAAGAAGCAGAAGTAAATCAGTTCTATGAGGATCTGCAGGACCTACTGGATAATACACCAAAAAGAGACATTATTTTCATTACAGGAGACTGGAATGCCAAGGTGGGAAGTCAAATGACAACTGGGATCACAGGCAAGCATGGTCTGGGAGAACAAAATGAAGCGGGACGCAGGCTGATAGAATTTTGCCAGGAAAACTCGCTGTGTATAACGAATACTCTCTTCCACCAACCTAAAAGACGGCTTTACACATGGACCTCACCAGACGGTCAACACCGAAATCAGATTGACTACATCCTTTGCAGCCAAAGGTGGCGGACATCCATCCAGTCGGTGAAAACAAGACCTGGCTGACTGTAGCTCAGATCACGAACTTCTTATTGCCCAATTTAGAATAAAACTAAAGAGATCAGGGAAAATACACAGACCAGTTAGATATGATCTCACTAACATTCCTAGCGAATATACAGTGGAAGTGAAGAACAGATTTGAAGGACTAGATTTAGTAAACAGAGTCCCAGAAGAACTATGGACAGAAGTCCGAGACATTGTTCATGAGGCGGCAACAAAGTATGTCCCAAAGAAAAAGAAAACCAAGAAGGCAAAATGGTTGTCTGCTGAGACACTGGAAGTAGCCCAAGAAAGGAGGAAAGCAAAAGGAAACAGGGATAAGGGGAGATATGCCCAGTTAAATGCGCAATTCCAGAGGTTAGCCAGAAGAGATAAGGAACTATTTTTAAATAGGCAATGCATGGAAGTGGAAGAAGACAACAGAATAGGAAGGACAAGAGCCCTCTTCAAGAAAATTAGAAACATTGGAGGTAAATTTCAGGCAAAAATTGGTATGATAAGAAACAAAGATGGCAGGGACCTAACAGAAGCTGAAGAGATCAAGAGAAGGTGGCGAGACTATACAGAAGATCTGTATAGGAAGGATAATAATATTGAGGATAGTTTTGACGGTGTGGTGAATGAATTAGAACCAGACATCCTGAGGAGTGAGGTTGAATGGGCCTTAAGAAGCATTGCTAACAACAAGGCAGCAGTGTGGATCATAATAAATTATGGCAAGTTCTTAGTGGGATGGGCATCCCAAGCCACCTTGTCCTCTCTCCTGAGGAATCTGTACAAGGACCAAGTAGCAACAGTCAGAACTGACCACGGAACAACAGACTGGTTCAAGATTGGGAAAGGCGTACGGCAAGGCTGCATCCTCTCACCCAACCTTTTTAACTTGTATGCAGAACACATCATGCGATGTGCGGGGCTGGATGAATGCAAAGCTGGGGTGAAAGTTGCTGGAAGAAACATTAACAACCTCAGATATGCAGATGACACCACTCTGATGGCCGAAAGCGAGGAGGAGCTGAGGAGCCTTCTAATCAAGGTGAAAGAAGAAAGCGCAAAAGCCGGGTTGCAGCTAAACGTCCAAAAAAACCAAGATTATGGCAACAAGAATGATTGACAACTGGAAAATAGAGGGAGAAACCGTGGAGGCCGTGACAGACTTTGTATTTCTAGGTGCAAAGATTACTGCAGATGCAGACTGTGGCCAGGAAATCAGAAGACGCTTCCTTCTTGGGAGGAGAGCAATGTCCAATCTCGATAAAATAGTAAAGAGTAGAGACATCAGACTGGCAACAAAGATCCGCCTAGTCAAAGCCATGGTATTCCCTGTAGTAACCTACGGATGTGAGAGCTGGACCTTAGGGAAAGCTGAGCGAAGGAAGATCGATGCTTTTGAGCTGTGGTGTTGGAGGAAAGTGCTGAGAGTGCCTTGGACTGCGAGAAGATCCAACCAGTCCATCCTCCAGGAAATAAAGCCCGACTGCTCACTGGAGGGAAGGAGACTAGAGACAAAGTTGAAGTCCTTTGGCCACATCATGAGGAGACAGAAAGCCTAGAGAAGACAATTATGCTGGGGAAAGTGGAAGGCAAAAGGAAGAGGGGCCGACCAAGGGCAAGATGGATGGATGGCATCCTTGAAGTGACTGGACTGACCTTGAAGGAGCTGGGGGTGGTAACGGCCGACAGGGAGCTCTGGCGTGGGCTGGTCCATGAGGTCACGAAGAGTCGGAGACGACTGAACGAATGAACAACAACAACATAGTAACAATTACTTTTTATCCATGTAAAGAAAGCTCTGATATTATTATCACCGCCATCCATGTAAAGAAAACTTATTCTTATTTAAATAGAAAGATGAATGGGGCCTTCAAAGGAGGGTATGTGTATATTTAGAGCAGGGGAAAGCCTCTTGCGCATGCGTTGTGTGTGTGTATATATCAGAGTGTAACGGTTCCCGACTGCTCTATGTAGATAGCGGGGAAGCCTCTGCGCATGCTCTGTGTATTTAGCGGAGGAGGCCTTTTGCGCATGCGCTCTATATATAACGGAGAAAGCCTCTTGCGCATGCGTTCTTTGAATATAGCAGAGGAAGCCTTTTTCCCATGCTCTGTGTACAGCGGGTAACCCATTGCGCATGATCGCTGTGTGTGAGTATATAGCGGTGGGGAACCCTTTGCGCATGCTCTGTGTGTGCAGCTAGCGGAGGAAGCCTTTTACGCATGCGCTTTCTGTATATTGCAGAGGACGCTTTTAGCCCATGTTCTGTGTGTAGATAGCAGAGGAAGCCTTTTGCGCATGCGCTCGAAATAGAACGTAGGAAGCCTTTTGCGCATGCGCTCTCTGTATTTAGCCGAGTAAGCATTTTGCTTGTTCTGTGTGTGTATGTGTGTATATAGCATCTAAGTCTTTTTGCGCATGCGCTATGTGTATATATAGTGGCGAGGGAACCTTTTGCGCATGCGCAAGCAAGAAAGCTTTGTCGCTTGGAGGCATGCGCCTTTCCTGAAGTCGGCCCCTTCTCACGCGTGCGCAGTGAGGGGTGAGGAAATAAAAGAGGGCCTCCGCCTCCTCCTCGATGGCGCGTGCGCAGTGCGTGCGTGTGTGTGGGGGGGGAAAGGATATAGACGCGCATGCGCAGTGGTGCCCGGAGGACGGGGGGAGGGAGGGATGCGGACGGGGCTAAAATGGCGGCCTCGTCGAACAACCCGCGGAAATTCAGCGAGAAAATTGCGCTCCACAACCAGAAGCAGGCCGAGGAGACGGCGGCCTTCGAGGAGGTTATGAAGGACCTCAGCCTAACCAGGGCCCACCGGGTAAGGAAGGCCTCCGGGCCCAGCAGCGGGCAGGGGACGCCCAGCAGGGGACGCCCGCCCCGGCCTCTCCCCTCAGGAAAACGGGGCCTCGCGGGGGGCGCTGCGGCCTACGCCCCGGGGAACTAACGGGGAACGCTCAGGGATGGGCGGGGAGGCCAGGCCGGGGGAAAGCAGGCAGGCGCAAATCAAAACAACAGGGTTGAATTCCTCCCTTCCTCAGCTAGAGCCCCGTTTTAGAAGGATTTCTTCTCATATATTATCGTATATTATTATTATTCCCCTCCTGAATGTGTAGGGCTCTATGATATATTATTATTATTATTAGATACACAACAAGATTTTAGTACTCAGCTGGCTTTTAGAAACATAGAATCATAGAGTTGGAAGAGACATGGTGGGCCATCCAGTCCAAGCCCATTCGGCCAAGAAGCAGGACAATCTCATTCAAAGCACCCCCAACAGATGGCCATCCAGCCTCTGTTTCAAACCCTCCACCACACTCTGGGACAGAGAGAGAGTTCCCCGCAGAACAGCTCTCACAGGAAGTTCTTCCTAATGTTTATGTGGAATCTCCTGGACATTTGTATTGGATCACACGTCGGACACTTCCCAAGTGTTTAGGACTGTGTGATGTATCGGCAAATAATGTGTGCAGATCCCAGTAGGGTGACCTTTGGCAGCTGACAGATGGTAATTTTGTCAGCGCTGATTGTTTTCAAGTGCAGGCCAAGATCTTGTGGGTCTATGATATATTATTGTTTTTGTTGTTGCTGGTATATCTATGATATTATTATATAGTTAAATTCCCCTTGTAATACGATACTATATTATATCTATGATTTACTATTATTATTATCATTGTATTGTCGAAGGCTTTCATGGCTGGAATCACTAGGTTCTTGTAGGTTTTTTCGGGCTATAGGGCCATGTTCTAGAGGCATTTCTCCTGACGTTTCGCCTGCATCTATGGCAAGCATCCTCAGAGGTAGTGAGGATACCTCTGAGGTACCGCTGAGGTAGTGAGGATACCTCACAACCTCTGAGGATGCTTGCCATAGATGCAGGCGAAACGTCAGGAGAAATGCCTCTAGAACATGGCCCTATAGCCCGAAAAAACCTACAAGAACCTAATTATTATCATTATTATTATATGGTTGAATTCCCCTCCTGATATTATACTATATTATAGTTATTATATCTATAATATATTATTATGGGTGAATTCTCCTCTTGAATGTATAGAGATTGCTAAAATTAAATTATCAGTATTATTATATTTATTATACATTATCATTGTTAGTATTACTTTTTATCCAGTGGGTTAAACCCTTGCGCAGTGGGTTAAGTCCTTGTGCCAGCAGGACTGCTGGACCTGAAGCAACTTGCAGTTTCTCAAGTCGCTCCTGACACACAAAAAATATTATTATTAGGTTGAATTCCCCTCCTGAATGTATAGGGATAGCTGAAATTAAATTATCATTACTATTAGGTTGCATTCCCCTTATTAATGTATGGGGGTCTGTGAATTATTGTTATTATTAATGATATTATTATATGATTGAATTCCCCTCCTAATATGATAGTATAGTATTATATCTATGATATTGCATTATTGTTTTTATTAGGTTGAATTCCCCTCATTAATGCATAGAGGTCTATGATTTATTATTATTATTATTATTATTATTATTATTATGTGGTTGAATTCCCCTTCTGGCTGTATAGGGGCATATGATGCTGTTATTGCTGCTGTTGCTATATGGTTACATTCCCTCCTTTCTCAGAATCCCCAATTTATAAGGATTCATTCCCATTCCTCAATGTTTATGCAAGGATTCCCCCTTTGAATTTATAAGGATCTGATGATGATGATGATAATAATAATAATAATAGGTTGAATACCCCTCCTGAATGTATAGGAGTATACCCCCCTACTGTGTGTGTGTGTGTGTGTGTATGAATATGTATATAGGTTAATTCCCACTCTCCAACTTATATGCATGAATCTCCACTCCTTAGTTTATAGAGAGAATCCCTCCTCTCAGTTTATATACTAAACCCTCAATTTAGATGCAATAATTCCCATTCCTCAAGTCATATGCAGTAATTCCCATTCCCCAGCTTATTATAGGCTGAATCTCTCCTCTTAGTTTATATACTAAATCTTCAGTGTATATAGATTAATTCCCAGTCTTCAATTTATATGCAATAAACCCCTTCCTCCTCAATTTATATGGATTAAATCCCACTTCTGAGTTTATATGGATTCAGTCCTACTCTTCAGTTTATAGGCAAGCATCCCCTTCCTTGGTTTAGAGAAACAAATCCCTTTTCTCGGTTTATATTCTGTATCCACCCTCCTTGATTTACATGGTTTGCTTCCCATTTCCCACAACTTATGCGCAAAACCATATGCTTGAGAGAAAGGTGGGTCTGTTGCTGTACATTTAACAACCTCTTGTTCCTTCTTTCCCTTCAGAAAAGGAGTGATCTGTAGATACAGGTTGAGCATCCTTTATCCAGAATCCAGAAATTACCTTCAGGCTACATGCCTCAATGAAACACAAATGCATTTAATGCCTAGGCTTGGGTCCTATGTCTAAGATCTGGAATATATGTCCAATAAGGGATACTCAACCTGGGAGAAGGACTAAAGAATGCATATAGATAATATTACTGTTTTATATGTTATCTATCTATCTATCTATCTATCTATCTATCTATCTATCTATACGTTTGAGCAGAGGTGGAGGATGAAGGGGTAACTGCATTGTAAGTTCCATATTGTGAGAAGGGCATGTCATAACTCTGCTAAATAATAACAAATAAAAAAACAACTAACACCTTCAGTTTGGAATTGAATCATGGAACTGAACCGATCTGGGGTCGGTGGAGTGACACCACAAGTTAATGTCTTCTCTTCTTCACAGAATTGGGGGTTCCAGTTTGGGGTGATGGAAGAATGATATGTTTGTAGTCCTGCCTTATATTCCTGACTAACTTGGAGACTCGGCAGTGCCTGTGTTATTTGAAAAAGGCATTGTTTGTTTTGGGGTGTAAGGTAAAATTAGATTGGTAATTTGTAGCTCTTTTTCTTAGAAAAAAAGTCAGTCTGTCCTGTTGTTTTTTATGAATGCTCCCATTAGAAAATGCATAAGGATGTGGGTGAACTGGAATGCCCAAAATTATGGGTCATTCACCCCAGACCCCATAAGTATTCAAAGTTGGGTCTATGTGCCAAGTTTGGTCCAGAACCATCATCGGCTGGGTTCATTGCTCTGGATGCAGATGAACTACAGCTCCCAGCAGTATTCAAAGTTGGCTATGTTGGGTCTGTGTGCCAAGTTTGGTCTAGATACATCATCAGCTGGGTTCAGTGCTCTACAACTCCTATAAATTATTGTGAATTCTCCCCAAGCCTCTTGTTCAGTTGCTGATCAATTCTTCTGTTTCCTGTGTGCTATAGGAAAACTTAGGAAAGGGTTAAGGGAAAGACAATGGGCAGGGTCATACAAATTCCACAGCAATGGAGAGAATAAGGAACCCTGGGATGTCCATTCTGTAGGAAAAACATAAAATCTAGGATGAAATTGTCCCCGTAAGAAAGTCTTCACTTCGGTGGCAAGCAGTATGGTGTTGGTGAAGGACATTGGCAGGGTTTGGTCTACATGTTCATTGCGCTTGCTATAACCTGCAATGTCATTGGAGGGAGTGCTTTTGGTGGCTCCTCAGCACTGTGGGTTAAAGTTGTTTGTGGAGGCGGGAGCCTGTCTGTGTAAGTGGACACCTCTGCTACATACACACATACATATTTGCACTTTTATTATGTGTATAGATGGAGGGAAGTTGTTGGTCTCCTATATTTCATATGCTAGAGTCTAGCCAATGAGGCCCATGACTGTGGATGCTGGGAGGTATAAATAACCCAGCCAACAGTCTTCCTTGTGGTTCTGTAGTGCCGTCTAGTTGGGTATGATTTATGGCATTCCTCTGAGTGAAAGGCTTCTAAGAGGCCTGGCTATCAACTGCTGCTCAGCTCTTGCAAATCCAGTGCTTTTCCCCGTGGAATCTTTGTGTTTTCAGGTGGTCCACAAAACTCCTTGGAAGAGGCATTACGAGCGGAAGCCAGTTTGCCATTTACCCAGATTAGAATTGATAACTTGCACATATTAATTGCAGACGGCATCAGAAAACTCGCAAGGACAGAATTGATTCCAGATTCCTTTGTGTGTTTCATTATAGCGCTGTTTACAAACATCAGATTGAGCTGATGTGAATACCATAAATTGTTTCTTGGAGTTGGGAAATATATGTTACTAGGTTGAATACCCGGCATTGCCCGGGTTATTTGAAAAAGTCATTTTTTTTATTCTACAAAATGCATAAGGTTGTGTTTAAACTACAACTCACATCATGCCAGGTTAACCCCCTGAAACTCCATCGGTACTTTAAAGTTTGCTATGTTGGGCAAGCTTGCTCTAGATGCATCATTGATGGGGTTCAGTGTGCTCTCTGACTGTAGGGTAAATTACAACTTCCGCTATGGTGAGTCAGCCCCCTCAAGCCCCTCCAGTAGTTTTGAGTTAGTCATGGGGGTTCTGTGTGCCAAGCTGGGTCTATTATCAGTGGAGGTCATAGTTTCCCTTGTTGTGGGCAAACTACAACTCCCAGAAAGTTCCCCCAAATCCCTCTAGTAATGCAATTTCGGCATATCAGGTATGTGTGCCAAATTTGTTCCAGATCCATCAGTGTTTGGGTTCACAGTGCTGTCTGGATGTAGGTGAATTACAACTCCCCCAAATCAAGGTGAATTTCCCCCAAATTTCCTCCAGTATTTTTGCTGGTTATGGGGGCTCTCTGTACCAAGTTTGGTCCAATTCCATCTTTGGTGGAGTTCAGAGTGGTCTTTGATTACAGTTGAACTATAAATCCCAGTACCTATAACTCCTAAATGTCCAGGCCAATTGCCCTTAAAACCCACCAGTATTCAAATTTGGGCA